CTGCAACTTTTTTTAAAAAATGAGATGAATCTACATGTATTGATAAAGGTGTCTGTGTTAAATGACACAGGCAAGAAACACAGCAGTATTATATAACTCAGCCACTTTTACATAAATAAAAAGTGTTAGATATTTAACTAAAGAATACCGGGGGCCTCCCTGGTGGCACAAGGGGTTAAATCTCAGCACTATGAAGCTATAGGCAGTCACTGTAGTACAAGTTTGGTCCTTGTCCAGGGAGCTAACCCAGATGGCATAGTAGAACTCTCCTGTCTTGCCCACGGCTCCCCTCAGCAGTGTATTTCAGACAGTCTGCCTGTTCTGCTCCCCACTCTGTCTCTGGTGAATCTTCTCACCCCCTCCCCATTACTCTGGCCTGAAGCCCAGCTCTTATATGCATAAATAAAATAAATCTTTAAAAAAAAATTGAATTTTTCTGGAAAGATATGCAAGAAAACAGACCTTCATGAGGTACGAAAGGAAGATTTAACTCTAATTTTACGTTTCTGTACTATCTTAAATTTTTAACATGTTCATAGTATTTTATTTATCAAGTATATATTTAATATAGGATTGTTTGTGATAGCATTATGGCCCAATTTTGTTTTCCTTTTTATGCATTTAAAAAAACCTAAAATGTATTAATATTTTCATGAGTTCACCATTCTCAATTTCTGCTATCTGCCTCTTCTGCACTCTTGTTGGAATTCTTACCTAAGTTACCTTCCAGGTACTATGCTTTCTCCCATAGTAAAATATTCCGTAAAGCAGTGAAAATTGTTACTTTGTCATCTTTCACTCTTTTCCTAGCTACAAAGAATTTCTTCTTGCCTCTTTATTCTACAGCCCAGGTGGAGACAGCATGAGACCCAGACTTAAGTCAATTAGAGAATTCCAATCCATCTGCACAAAGACTGTTTCAAAGGTAGTCCAGGGATTTTATTTAATAAAAAATGGGGAAAAATAATTCTTCTTAACTCCAGTGTTTAATTTTAGAAATTTGAAGCTGGAGTTACTGTAGCTACCTTATACAGCAAGGGGAGAAAGCTCTGGTGGTGCCAGGTCACTATGAGGAGGCTGATAATAATGGCAAGACAATGAAATACACAGCAGAGCAAAGAAAGAAACCAAATCTTGCTGTCTGTCTGCACACTAAATCCTTCCTTTCCTACCTCATACATTATACTCACCTGACTTTTTAGTTATGGGAGCTATTTTTTCCCTCAAGATAATTTGAATTGGATTTCCTGTCACATATAGAGGGCCCTATCTGAGACTCTAGTGTAATTATTTCTTCTTTCCAGACTTCAAGAATGGACATTTCTTCAATATTTCTCAACTGGTGCTATCTTCTCTCTCTTCAAAACCTTCAAAACCTAAACTGTTTTTAGTGTTCCCCTTCCTCACTTCCTATTTTTTCTGTGTTAAGCTAGAGTTTCAGTAAGATAACTGTTCTAGGGCTTATATTGTGAAAGTTTTTATTACTACCTGTCCTGTGCCTGTATCCAATTTATTAACTTTAAATAATATTCTCTAAGTAGTTACACATTATCTACACAAATTCATGTTTGTTTATTTTTTTTATTTTTATTTTTTTGTGGGACCCTCGCCGGCGGGGCGGGGAACGAATCAGCGCTGCAGAGGCTGCGGGCAGCCTCGCAGCCCAGCACTCAACTGCTGCGCCACCAGGGGAGGCCCCTATTTTTTCATTTTGATCCATCAGTTAATACCTAACTAATCTAAATGTTTATAAGTAATTAAAAACTTAGTTAATATTTTTAAACTTTTACCCACAAATCTAATTTTACACTTTATGAAATGCTGTCACTTTAAAAGACAAAACCCATTATTATAATAACAAAACTTAACCTTACATTTAAAGAACTGCAAATATGACCACATTAAAAAATAAAACACATTATTATAATGAAAATTAAATTTTTTAAAAATATTTATTTATTTATTTATACAAGCACTGGGGTACAGTCAGAAGCGAGGGAGGGTGAGAGAATTCACCAGAGCCACAGCAGAGAGCAGAGCAGGCAGACTGACAAGGTACACTGCTGAGGGGAGCAGCGGGCAGCAGAAGAGGTCTGCGCGCCATGTGGGACCCTCACCCAGCAGCCGGTGATCGAACCGGCGCTGCAGAGGCTGTGGGTAGCTTTGCAACCCAGGGCTCAACCACTGCGCCACCGGGGAGGCCCCTAATGAAAATTAAATTTCACTTTGACCTTAAAGAATTGCAAGTGTAGCCTTTAATTCTAATTCCAATTCTTTTTTTTTTGAACTTAAGAATAAACATATCTTCTTATGGTATGCAATTGTGGGACAGAATATTAGGGTTCTCTTCTCAGACCACCTGAATTATTATATAATGATTGTCAGTACATGATCTGAACCAGAAAGATAAGACTTGGTTATACTTCCCAAAATTACTACAATCTACTCCTTTCCAATTGCATCAGTTTCTCTTTACAATTAGGACCTCTTAATTTCATAAGTGGCCAAAGTATTGGCAGCCATCAATTAAATATTTCTTATGACACTAATCTCCTTTCAAATCACTTATTTATCCCGTGTACTATTTTCATAGTACACATAAATCTCTAGTTTTAAGTCTACTCTGCAGTTGTTCATTATGCTTTTTCTTCACTATACAACCTATTTTAAGTCAAACATTTGTTTTGAATGGGGCATGGTTAGATTTAACTACATTTAAAGTTAGAAGTCCCTTTACTGAGTTATTTAAAATTTCCTTCTTATCAATCATCAGATCTACATTATTTACTGCAATTATCAAAGGCAGTAAAATTAGGATTTATTTTTCCTATCAAATCATCACTGACTCAGGGATTCACAAAGAATAGTAGCTGACTAACTTTAATGTTTTATACACTTGACCATTAAAATCCACAAAAGCTATACATTATTCCCCCCAAAATATCTCTGGAGTTTTTCAGGTCTACTGTGTAGGCACTTTTCAACTCCCACACAAATGAGTGCACAGTCCAGATCAGCCAGGCTAATCTTAGTCTCTTTTTGTCTTTAACATATCCCATATAAGTACTGCTAACTATTCTTTTTAACCAAATTATTCCTTAGTTGAAAATTGTCTTAACAGATGCTTCCTCCATCTCATATCCTTAACATTACTTTGAAGACTCTTCATAAGCTAACCTTAATTTGACATCCCATTGCTCATCTTTTGCAATATCCTAATAAGGTCAATGTCATAAACACAGAACTAGCAAATGCTTAATAGCACGAGTTTTAGATGAATAATCATAAACAATCCTATAAAGAGGTATTATATGTTGGCTTTATAAAAAATATTCTCATAGATTGGTAATTGTCTCAGATTATAACAAAAAACTAATGGGATTTGGGATTCTGACAGTTACATCTCTCTACTACATTGTGCTCTGCCCCTCATATACACCATTCAGTTTGAACTAACCTTTGTTTTTTTCATAGATGTTAGCTCTCCAACTTGGAATTTATAGTTATTTACAATATTTGAAAATCCAAAAGTTTCAGAAACTCTCAGAGAATCACTACATCTTCTTGGTATGACTAGCAGTCAAAAGCTTCTTTAAACTTTATTGTATAGATTTTGTCTTTTGAAAACAAGCCCTTTTTAAAATTCAAATATAGGGCCTCCCTGGTGGCACAGACGGTTGAGCACAGCGCTGTGAAGCTGTCTACAGCCTCTGCAGTGTGGTTTCAATTCCCAGCCGGCTGGGGAGATACCCACATGGTGCTGCAGACCCCTCCTGTCTCGCCCCCTGCTCCCCTCAGCAGTGAATTTCACTCAGTCTGCCTGTTCTGTTCCCCACTCTGTCTCTGGTGATTCTTCTCACCCTCCCGCACATCTGGCCTGTACCCCGGTCTTGTATGTATAAATAAATTTTTAAAAAAATTTTTCAAATATAAAGGTATATTAATAATATCAAGTCAATGCATATTCAAATCACACCAGTGTCCCAACCTCACCAAATTCTAAAACTTGCAAGGAGTATCCTCCAGACCCTTTCTTGAGAATCACTGAGCTTGACTTTTTGCTCCGTAGGGCAAGAGTCACAATACTTACAATAACATTGTAAATTCATTCATATAGCAGATTTATTGGTGCTTTAATATGCCAGGACTTAAGTATGCAAGAGTTAAAGAGAAAAAACAAAAGAGGCTCCAAATTGCCGATGTCCAGTAAATAAGAATTCTTAATAGTTATTGGAGACATTCAAATCAACCAGCGGTTAACACTGTGGGCAACTAGGACAACGTTTGGGAATCTGACTAAAGTTATGGGGAAACTCGGAAAAATACAAAACACGGAATTTTGTATACAATTTCAGAGGAGTTACGATCTTCTGTGACGCTTAATCACCACGAGATCCACAAACTCTGGGTTAAAAACCCACTAACAAAACGAGGTTCTCTAGAGGGGAAGAGGAAAGGAAAACTTGCTTTAAAATCTTTATCAGGCCTTGCATAGTGCGATGTATACAAAAGCTACTTAGGAGAGATTTGCTGGTCGATCATTTCCTCAAAAAACAACAACATAACAGCAACAACAACAACAAAAAAAAAAGCACAGCATCCGCGAACCTTCTCTTCCAGGCGAGTACTTTAGTCAGGTGATTTTAAAAACCCGAAGCCCCCTTTCATTAGTGACACTCAAGACCTAACACCAACTCGAAATCACTGTTTCCTGTTCACAAAGGACTACACGATTGTTAATTACTCTGGTCCCCTCTTTTCCTAGAGCCCCTCCACTCCTTCCTAGCCCAGGGCTTCCCCTCTCCCATCCCTAAGGCAAAGGCCACAGCCTGTCCCCCCCACCCACGCCCCCAACCCCCGCCCCCACCCCGACACGCACCCAGAGGGACAGAAATGAGGATGCTGAGCGCCGCCACACCCTCAAAATAAGAAGGCGGCCCCAGTAGTGACAGCCCCCGCTGCCAACCCTGCCCTCGCCACATCCAGCAGTGGAGATTTACCTCCAGTCCCAGGAAAGCAGAGGCTACTGCTCTCAAAGTGGGTTCGGTCGCCTAGCCGCCCGACCTCCCGTTACCATGGAGACGCAAAGATCCACGCCCCGCCCACGCCCTCCCTCTTCCCGCGATATTTCCCCGCCGCGCGTCTCCCTGGCGAGGGGTCTTGAGAGCCCGCCCTTCTGCGAGCCCGCCCTCTCCTAGAGGGACATTATTGGATGGTGAAGCCCCACCTCCATCTGTGGGCGGGAACCTATGTTTAATTCTTCTTGAAAACGCTTCAGGATTTTTTAAAAAATATTCTTATAGCTGTAGGCCCTAAGCAAAACACTGCCACGTTTCCTGGCCACTTAGCAGAAACGTCCCCTGTCGCTTGTGGGCCAGCAAGAGCTCGCGCATGCGCCTGGAAGGCCAGAAGATGGCGGCGGTGATGGCCGCACTTTTTTTCAAATTGGTGCCTCCCAGAAGGCATTGCGCGCATTTGTAACGAATTTCCGTTCGAGTTTGTATTTTAGGCGCCATTTTCGAGTGAGGGACCCGGAGCCGAAACACCGGCTGGAGTGGGGGTTTGCGATCGTCTTCCAGCTCTGGTCCGAGTGGGCCACGCCGCAGGTAGAGTGCTTTCCCCGGCGAGGCCGCCCCACTCCCGCTTCCTGCCGCGGCGGCGCTCGGAGAACCGAGGCCTGAAGCGGGGCCGGAGCGGCCGGGCCGGGCTGTCCCCCCTCCCCCGCCGCCGCCTGTCCCCGCGCTGCTGCCTGGAGCTCGCGGCGAGGGGGGGCGGGGGTGGCCTCCGAGTCGCGCAGTCCTCCCTCGGAACCCCGGCCCCGCCTGCCCCCTCCCGATCGGCCCCCGAGCGGCCCGTGAGTGCTCTCCTAGAGGGCACGAGCGGGGACCCCAGTCCCGCCGCCTGCCCTAGTGGGGTGCGGACGGGAGACGCCACCCCGGGCCGTTCTTCCCTGTGGGCTGTGGAGGAGACCCCGCGCCTGCCCCGCTCCGGGCTGGGCTGTGGAGGGGGCTTCACCCCGGCAGCCCGCGGCGCCGAGCGCAGCCGCGGGGGAGGCGTGGGCGCGCGCGGCCGGAGTCTCCTGCCGCCGAGTCGTGCGGGTGTTCGGATCCAGAGCCCGCACGAACTCCCCCAAAGTCCGCAGCCCGGCGGGCGCGGGGCCGTCGCGGGCTCCGAGGTGACACGGTATCCTCGCGCACCTACGCCTGCGGCTGCGGCCCCGGAGGAGGACGGAGCGGGCGCGGGGTCTCCGAGCTCGACTCCCGCGGTGTAGAGAGCCGGCCCCCACCCCGCCTCCCCTCGCCCGCGCTCCCCCACCCCGGCGTGGAGCGGGGTTGACGGCGGGCCCTCGGGTTTCCCGGAGCGGCGCGCGCGGGGACTGACTTGCCCGGGTCTCCGCACAGGAGCATGCCGCGCCGAGGCGCCCAGCCCTCCACCGCCCGGCGCGCCGAGAATGGGCGGCCGCAGAGCCCCGACGGTGCGGCCAGCGACGCGGAGTCCGAGCCCGCCGCCGCAGGTGAGTGCGCCCCGCGGGGCGGCGCGGGGCGGTCCGGGTGGGCCCGTGCGCCGCGGGCCAGCACCTTGCGAGGCCCGCTGGGTCCGCGCCGCCCGCGAGCTGCGGGGTGGGAGACCCAAGTGAATCCGAACCGGGGTGGAGGTGCAGGGGCCACAGCGGCCGCGAGCTGACGTCCCGGCGCCTCGAGATTGGCCCGGAGGAGCAGCTCAAGAAAGTGATAAGATTTTCAGATATTGGACTCTTGGTGCAGTTTCTGTGTAACGGTGCTTCAGGACATGGGGGTGAGCAAAAGGCTTTAGTTTGACCTTCTCTTTGTGGCCTAGTGCTTCTGCGGAAATCGGCACGATCAGTCTATAACAAGTTGACTTTTCGTAATGACGATGTATTGATGGGATGAAAAGTTGTTTGTCCCTAACGTCACCTTTATTGTCTTAAATTGCTTTTAAGAATAATTTACTCGAAGGTGCCGTAGCTTCTGAGAGTTCAGAAATTGAACGACTCCGCTGTGACAGTGTTGCTGGAGTTCGTGAGTGTCCAAAGTAAAGGTTCTTGGTGTTCAAAGATGCCTCCGAGGGTTGGATCGAGTCTCAGGATACATCCACCTGCTTAGGCTTGCATCAGGGAATCAGGTTGTTGTGTTTTCCCAAATTTGCTCGTGTAGTGTTTTGACTCTTAAAGAGGTACATTCTATAGAGTTTGGTGACTGGTGGTTTAATGAATTTCTTTTTTTCGATAAAGATGATTTTATTAGTTTATGAGTTTGGGATAATGCTGTATCTAAGTGAAAAATCCGAATTCCTGGGTTTCATATAAAACATCTTTCCAGAGATTAGTAAGCATGTCCTCGGAACTGATTACACTAATTGAGGCTTTTTCCACCTTGCTTTCCATTTCCTTTCCTTTCACTTAGAGACTCCAAGTGAGGAAATGGATAATAGAAGTTTGGAAGAGATTTTGAATAGCATCCCTCCTCCCCCGCCTCCAGCAATGACCAATGAAGCTGGAGCTCCTCGACTTATGATAACTCATATTGTAAACCAAAACTTCAAATCCTATGCTGGTGAAAAAGTTCTGGGACCTTTTCATAAGGTATTTGACCATCCTAATACCTACTGTAAAGTAATGGTTTTTATCACTAGATGTTTCAAGTTTTTTGTGTTGTTGTATTTAACCTTGCAACATGTGTTTGATGTTCCTTTACTTTTGTGTTGGATGGTTCCTTTACTTTTAACAACTGATTTAGCCTGTTTATTTGCTTATCTTTAGAACCTCTAACTATAAAAGCTGTAGCTTTTCTTCTCTGAATCGAATTAGTGAGTTTTTTGTTTGAGAACTTTCTCTGTTAGAATGAATTTATTGAAGTGTCTGAGTTAGAATTAGAATATGGTCTTAAGATATTGAAATTTGTGATAGAGAATGTGATTAAGAAAATTTAGTTTGTCATTTTGTACAAATAAAAACTAAATACTTGTGGGTTTGCTGCAAATTAAAAATTAAGTAGATTAAAATCTGTGGTATTGGTGTGATCTTTTTAACTTCTCTTTCTCTTTATACAGCGTTTTTCCTGTATTATTGGGCCAAATGGCAGTGGCAAGTCCAATGTTATTGATTCTATGCTTTTTGTATTTGGCTATCGAGCGCAAAAAATAAGATCTAAAAAAATCTCTGTACTAATACACAATTCTGATGAACACAAGGATATTCAGAGTTGTACGGTAGAAGTTCATTTTCAAAAGATAATTGATAAGGTAAGGGATTTTTTACTATTTAGCTTATTTGCAACTTTCAAGTAAGGAGCATGAAGAATTTCAAAACATTTGCACTTTTTTTGGACTTAATTTGGATTCTAAAAATTAGTCTATGATTACAGCAGAACAGATGTTGATTTCTCTACCTCCGTGGTCGTATTTTCTTTTGAAAGTGGTGGTGGCGAATGTTAAATTTTTTATCTAGGAAAAGTAACTCATAATAGTGTTTGCCTTTTTGGAAATAAAAACTTTAAGCAGTTCTGGTATCCTGAGTGCCAAATAGGCATTCTTTTAGTATGAATTTTGGGCTCGTTTTTATTGCTTTTGGATAAATTGCCTAAATTTTAAAATGTAGTGACTAATTTCACCATCTTTATTATTTCAATTTGTATTAAATTTAATGTATCTAATGTACATTCAATTTGTTTCATTTTGAATTACTATTAAAGCAGGGGAGGGATCAGGCTAACATGTTTTCTGGAAAAGGATATAATAATAGGTAAAATGTCTTTAGATTATTTTTGAGTGTTTTTTGGTATTGATTTTTTTCCTCTTCTGCTTATTAACTTTAGAAATTCATTTAGTTTCAAAAATGACTGGTTTTTAAAAATAAAGAGAACCATATTATATAATGAAAGAAACTTCTGGGTTTTTTTGTGGCTTGTTTTGTTTTTTAAATATAAAAGACTAAATCTAAATCTACACAGTGGGATCGATTTTATTTCTTGGTGCTTTCTATTTTGCAATTTGATATGGAGCATAGATTTCCACTAAATCAGATTTTATTCCATTCCTTGTTAATTACATTTGAATCATGTAAATTTTAAAAGCCATAACTTCAAAATGACAGATATTAAGGGAAAGTGAATTTTCGTAGATTTAAAGTAGATTTGCACTTCATTTTGACTTTTTAAAATCTCAATTCTTTGTGATTCTTTTTACTTTCAATTAATGGCATATTCTTCCACACATACACACACCCCGGGCAAAAGAAAAAAAGCCATATCACCTCATTACTTCCTTCTTCCTTGAATCATCTTTTGCAGGTTTGTTGTTTTTTGTTTTTTTTTTTTTTTAATGGACTAGTAATTTAATCTAACAACATGGCTTAATGATTAGGTGAATTCGTTTTGCATGTGGTGTGGTTTTCTCTCCCCTCTCCCCATTTCATTAACTCTTAGTCAAATATTTTTAGGCTTGTTTTATAGGTGGGGTTTTTGTTTGGTTTGATGATCTGTTTTATGATCGTGTGAGGGAAGGTATCATACAACTTGCAAAAATACCTGTTCTTTGTTAAAATTATTTCTGAGAACTGTCGCCTGTTTGTGTGCATCTTCTGTTGAAGATTTTGATCCATAATATTAGTTTCAGTATGAAGTGAATGATACTTGAACCAGACATATGACTTAATAACAATTGTTTTCTGGTTTTGTTTTTCCTGAAAACAGGAAGGGGATGATTATGAAGTCATTCCTAACAGTAACTTCTATGTATCCAGAACAGCCTACAGAGATAATACTTCTGTCTATCACATAAGTGGGAAGAAGAAAACATTTAAGGATGTTGGAAATCTTCTTCGAAGCCATGGAATTGACTTGGACCATAACAGATTTTTAATTTTACAGGTAAATTTATTAAAGACTTCAGAAGTGCTTTTAGTCTTGTTACTTTTTTTTTCTTCAATAAAGTTTGGTGAGAGGTTTTCCCTGTGGGATGACTCCTGTATTTTTGAGGCCTTAAAGTACTGTAGCAGCACATCATGGTTTACATAGTATAGACAAGATGCGAATCATTATTTGCTGCTCTAGAAATTTAAGGATATTCATTCAAAACTATATATTCATCATCAGAGCCTCATTTTGTCTTTGTATGAACGGACTTACTTGTTCCGCTCTAGCAGCACGTAAATATTGGCGTAGTAAGATAAATATTAAACACCAATATTATTGTGCTGCTTTAGCGTGACAGGGATATAGCAACTATTATTTTTGTTTATATTTCCCTCTAAGAAAACATTTTAAATGAAATTCCTTTTTTTGAAGAATTCTTTTCCTTGTGTTTATTCTTACCTCTAATAATACTATATAGCAAAAGAAAATGAAAATAACTGTAGACTTGGTATTTGACAAATTTGAGCAACTAATTTAATCTTTTTCTGTCGCTTAGAAGGGTTAATAAAAGTTTACTCAAGCTGGGTTTTGTCTTGTTTATAATAGCCTACTGGAACCACTACTTTTGGAAGATCAGAGAGTAACTGAGATGTTTTCATTTTAAGTATCACAGAGTCTCAGTGTTTTGTTGGGGTTTTTTTTGTTGTTGTTGGGTTTTGTTTTGTTTTGTTTTTTGGTTGGTTGTGTGTTTTTTGTTTTTGTTTTTGTTTTTTTTTTTTTTAGGGATATAAAATTAAGTACCTGGTTTTAAGTTGATTTATATTAGAAATCCTTCATTTTTTATTTGAGTAAAACTACCAGGATTGCTTAATGAGGAAAAAAAAATTTAGTGTAAAATATGACTTTGTAAGAAATGTTAGATTTCTTTTTAATTTTGAGGCTGACTTGTTCTCTTGAGTCCTATCCAGATCACCAAGAGCATAATAATGTAGAAATAGTCTTTAGTGTTTGTGCTGCTGATTATAATTTGGGAATTCTGGTTTGTATACTGAAATTTTAAATAGGATGACCGAGTAACACTTAAAATGTTATCTCCTCTTCCATTTTAATTTGTATTCAGTTATTCTTTAAGAAAATTACTTTTAGACATACATAGTATATGTACAGGATAAATCAATATTCTGGACTTACATTAGCATAGCATCTTTATTACCAGACATACTATGTTTGTAATACTTCTGAATCCCAACCTTAAAATTGAATGTTTGGAAGTCAGCTGCAGACAAAATTCTGAACAAAATTTGAATTTAGATAAATGTGGGAATAAGGCTTTGTAGGGTTGGGTTTTTTTTTTTTAATCAAGTGTTTCATAGAACTTCGTATTCTGGGATTTGGTTTGATTATAAGTAGAAAGTTCTGTCCCTTTCTAATGCTAAGTTTGGTAATGATACCATCTGTAAGAAACTGTATTTGTGTTTCTCTTTTGTTTTTATTTATTATACTGGAGTAAGCAGTACAGGTTTTACACCTGTATAAAGAATCATCTAAATAGACTACACTTTAACCCTTGTAAGGGTCTTTTTTTTTCCCTTGCTGTAGCCTCTGTGCATAATTCAATAACAAAGGAAGCTAAGTATAGTAACAACTTCCCAAAGAAGTAAATAAAATAATGTTTGAATTGTCAATTTTATATTAAAAATATGCTTCTGAAGTATCTAAGTTGCTTATGCTGATTATTCTCATAGTAATCTCAACCTTTTTGTGTTGTGATAAATTGTTTAAAGCAAGTTCTTAATACCAATGTAAACTATCCAAGTTAACAAATTCAATTCCATTTGATTAAATTTACAGATAAGAACCTTAGGAATTCACCTGTTAGGAAGAAGAAACAGGATTGGACTAGGTAGAACTAATGATGCCTTATTAAAAGTGTGAGGGAAAGTGGCAGTGGTTTCTATGGATTTTTATTTAGTTGCTTATCAGAATTTTAGACTCCTGCGCTAGAGACATAAAGCATGAGAAGGTAAGTAAGAATGTGATTTTTGTTACCTTCTCTCCCACTGGATAATGTTTATCTTAAAAATTAGCTGTGGTGGGGCCTCCCTGGTGGCGCAAGGGGTTAGGTACCGCACTATGAAGCAATCTGCAACCTCTGCAGCACGAGTTCAATCCCCGGCTGGCCAGGGAGCAACCCACATGGCGCAGCAGACCTCTCCTGTCTCACCCGCTGCTCCCCTCTGCAGTGTATTTCAGTCATTCTGCCTGTTGTGTTCCCTACTCTGTCTCTGGTGAATCCTCTCACCCCTGCAACTCTGGCCTGTACCCCAGCTCTTATATGCATAAATAAATCTTTAAAAAGAAAAAGAATTAGCTGTGGTTTGGGAAGCTGGGAACTTAGAGATAGCATACCACACCCCCAGACATGTCATTACTTTGAATAAAATGTATGAGACAGTGGTAGTAATTTAACAACATAAGAAATCTGAATTTAGCTAAATTAAAAATTTTGAAATTAAAAAGTGCTAAATTTTAAAAGACCACAAAGGCTGGGTTTTGGGTGTTGTTTTTTTTTTTTTTTTTCCAGTTATGTGTATTGGATTTGGAGATTATTCATTATTTCTAGTATTTGAATCCATTTAAAAAATTTTCAGTTGACCATTCAAATGAGTACTTAATGAGGCACTTACAAAGATGCTATAAATGATACAAGTATGATTAAATCCCTTTTCTTGTCCTTAATGGCACAAAGTATTTCTTTGCCTAAAATAATAGACTATGCTTGACTATTTTGCTGTCCATGTTTATATATTTCTCCATTTATATATATCCTATTTAAGAGTTTATGTCCCATTGTTATAACTCTTGGTGCCAACAAATAAGGTTTTATTAGTTGTGCATAACATTTCATGGAAACTGTGGCTTATAAATTAGATTTAATAGGTTTTGGTTTATTTGCTTCATTCAGGTTCAAAATTGTATTAGATGATTTGCTGTCTCAGGAATGTTTTTGTAAACACCTAAAAAGCTGCTATAACTATTAACTACAGTTTTGGTTTGGTTTTTTCCCCGCAAAGTTTTCAACTACACGTGCTTTTTGTCTTCACATTATAATTATAAAGACTAACTTAAAATTTAAAACAAGAATCAAGATTTTTTTCCTTACTCTTTAGTAATTTGGAGATTGAAATAATCTTAGTCTAACTTGTTGCCTGTCCATCTCTTCCTTTTTCCAGTATACATCTTCTAAGCTTGGCATGGTATACAAATTTTGGGTTCTAATCTTTTAACCTGTAGAAATAAATCTGTAATATAGCAAAAGAAATTTTAATGTTATCAGTAGCAACTCAGTTACTCAGAAGTATCTTGTTCAATAGCTTCTATACAAGAAATGGAAAGCAATTATCCTTAAGCAATCAGAACAGATGTCAAGCATTCCATTTACTAAAGCATATTATCCTTTCTATTTATGAACTTATTTTAGGCAGATAATAAATTTTTGGGTTTGGCTTTTAGGTAACTCAAAAAAAAAACAATAAAATTAGAAGATGAATATACTACAATGAAAGTGGAGAATATTGAAAGAATGTTAAGGCAAAATAAAAGTTCAAAGTCCTGTAATTCTGGGCAATAAAATTTTGATGTATATAGCCATTTATTTAATTTTTTAAAAATATTTATTTATACAAGCACTGGGTACAGTCAGAGGTGCGGGAGGGTGAGAGAATTCACCAGAGCCAGAGCGGGGAGTAGAACAGGCAGAGCGACGAAGTACACTGCTGAGGGGAGCAGAGGGCACGGCAGGAGAGGTCTGCGCACCACGTGGGACCCTCGCCCAGCGGCCGAGGATCAAACTGCGGGCAGCTTCACAACCCAGCACTCAACCACTGCGCCACTGGGGAGGCCCCTAGCCATTTTTTTTTAAAGATTTGTTTATTCTTATACCAGAACTGGGGGACAGGCCAGAGGTGCAGGGGGATGAGAGGATTCACCAGAGAAAGAGTGGGGAGCAAAACAGGCGGGCTGACTGAAATACACTGCAGAGGGGAACAAGGGGTGAGACAGGAGAGGTCTGCTGCGCCATGCGGGTATCTCCCTGGTCAGCCGGGAATCAAACCTGTGCTGCAGAGGCTGTGGACAGCTTCACAGCGCTGCTCTCAACCCACTGCGCCACCTGGGAGGCCCGCATATAGCCATTTTTTTATTTTAAAAACCCTGCAGACATTATTAGGAAAAATCCTACTATAACTACGTACTTGATTTTCTATGATTCCTAATTTGCTAAAATTCATGTTCAATTAAGAGTAAAGATCATCATACTTGTTTCACTTAGATACTTAAGCCATTTTCCTATAGATTATATTGTCAAGAATGGTTTAACTGAATCAGTGTCACTCATTTCAGTAAGTTAGGATTGAGACCATCATTTGGAAAATGTTATCAACTGTATTTTGGAGGACGTGATCTTTAAGCCTTTACTTTTATATATACTCTCTTTGAAGTATGTTTGCTGTTTTTATGAAACTTAAAAACCGTACATTTTTCCATAGTTGCTTAATGTCTCTGATGCAGTATGAACATAATTTTAAAAATATGAAGTTTGTTATAAGTAACAGTGAAAGAATGGTTTCAATCCTTGTTTAGTATGCTTTAAGCTACAGAAACTAGAGGTATCTGTCTGGAAGCCTATGCAATTTTGGATGTTAGCCTTAGTTTGAAACCTTTTTGGATAATCTTGCTGCCAGTTTGTGACTTTGAGTCTTACTTAATGTGGAAGTATGACTTTAAATTCAGGTTAATGCTTTAAATTCATTTCTGAAATATATATGGGACTTTTTGTCCTAAATTAAAGCTGTATTCTATAATTTCACATGGAATTGGCAAATTTTCTGAAAAATCAGGCTGTGAATCTATATGTTGTACATGAAATGCCACAAAAATGGAAAAAGGAAGAAAATAAATTGTAGAAAGTGGTAAGACAGGCAAAAGGTACATCAAGGAACAGTCACAGAAAAGGTCCAAGGTTGCCATTGCAGTCAGTCCTAATAGTTAAGTGACAAGTTAGAGACCTGAATGTTCCTGCCTGTTGATTCAGCAGTCCTGATAAGATAATACAATAAGTAGATTTTTAAAAAGTGATTGTCATAATACTATATGAAAAAACATTATTGAGATTTGTGATGGAACATTTTAATTTATAAATATCCTTGTCTTTCCCTTTAACATTTTTTTCAACTGGGCAACTTTGTTAAAATGAACAGAAACCATAGCTGAGTGTCCTTCGTTTTAATTGAGAGGGAGCAAACAACCAAAACAATCACTGCTTTACCCAGAGCTGTACAATGTCCTAATAGCTGTATTCCATCACTTCAAGAAATTGGCCAGGGAAACTGTGATGTCTTTAATAGTTTCATTGCAAACTGTAAACACTAAATTCCAATACTTAATAACTGGTGATTTGATTCAGAAATGTTAAGTTTTCCTAGCATAGTTTTTCGTTCATCTTAAAATCATCGGTGCTTAGATATTAAATTTTGATTAGTATATTAGAATCAGGTATAAGATATTTGTTATTTGAATGGTAAATACTAACCCAAATACATCATTGCGGTCAGTACCTTTCATCTACGGAGATTTACATCCACTCCACTAGGACATATGCATTGTTTGGGGATAGTTTGGGTTGATACAGTTGGAGAAGGGGAGGAGGTTGCTACTTGCATCTAGTGAAGAAATAATTTAAAAAAAAAAAAATGCTATTTAACATCCTACAATGCCCAACACAGCCCCCCCAACACAAAAAAAAGACTATTTAACCATAAATGTAAGTTGTATCACTGTTAACTACACTCTGCCTACATTTAAATTAAAAAAAAAAAAACAAAAAACTTGGAATAAGATTCTTGGCTTATTCAATGGCTGGAACTGCTGTTATTACAATCCAAAACTTTGGACATTCTTCTAGGCTTAAATCTTGTCTAAAATTTAAACTATTCCTACAAACATTTGGAAAGAAGTGATAATTAAAAGCACAGTAAAATATTTTATATAAATACTAATTCATACACAGTACACTAAAGATTGCATAGGAAATCTGAAAAATAATAGGCTCTTTGGATAATATTTCACTTTGATAATCATGTGTTGTACAGAAAGTGATGTGTATACAAATATTAAAAAATTGTATTGCTAGACTAGTACAGATGTAACTGAATTGTTATATTCGGGAATTTGGGTATAAAATTAGCCAACTTTATACAATGAGTGGGTTCTTCAGTGTGGCAAAAACTGCTTGGGTTTTCTCTGTTTTACAAGAGCTTAGCAGCTTTAACAAATTGCTTTAATTCTTAAAAAAAATTAATGAGCCACACATACACAAACTATATTATCCCATCTTTATTTTTTTAACTTTTATAATTATGTTGAAACTTGGGGTAAATGCAATGCATTGTCCAAATTTTTAATGTTCATAAATGGGTATTTTAAATATTTAAATTGAGAAAATAACATGTTCTTTTTAATGTGGTGTTTTTCTCTGTTCTTTTTAATCTGCTATGTTTGCTCAAATCAAAGAGTGTGTTTTTTCTACTTGCCTGTCCATTTTCTTCTGTTGTGGTAGCATAGAGTACACGCAGGCTGCTTCTGCGAAGTACAGTAGCAGCTTTTGCCTGAGCATGTTCAGAGAGAATTTTCTCAACCACCAAACTAATAAATGACTGGCACTCAGCCCTGCAGATTACTGATTATGGATTTTTTTCTTTTAGTACTATGAAAAATAAGTAATTTTTGTTTTTAGAACATTAGAAACTTAAAGTTTGAGGTACTTTTTTGAAAGCTGGTACTAATAACCAGTTTATAAAGTTTAAAAATAATATAAGCTACTTTTGAAGCAGGATTCCTACTATATTCTAACCATGAATGGTCTTTTAGAGAATGCTTTGTTTTAGAACAGGAGTTCTAATTATGTTATTAACACATTGCTACAATTTTTAAATCAGATTACATGAATATCTTGATAATGATTAATAGAAAAGTTAATTTTTATTTATATTGAAAAACATCTTAGATGGAGATTCTTTCACTTTGTGGGCATAATTTTATGAGTTAATGTAAGAATATATAAATAGACATTTTGTGTCCCCTTATGTAAAATTAAAACTTAATGTCATTTAAGAGAACACTAGCAATAGTTGTACCTTGTTAAATCTTTTTTTTTTTTTTTAAGATTTATTTTATTCATTTATGCATATGAGAACTGGGGTGTAGGCCAGAGCTGCAGGGGGTGAGGATTCACCAGAGACAGAGTGGGGAGCAGCAGGTGAGACAGGAGGGGTCTACTGTGCCATGTGGGTCAGCTCCCTGACTGGGAATCAAACTCAGGACTCTGGCTGGTGATAAGACTTGATTGTGCTGAGACTTTTAACACCTGTGCCACCAGGGAGGCCCCCCCCCCCCTTATTGAATCTGTTTAAGTTGATGTACATTGTTCAGTAGTTTATTACTATTGAGTTTTTTGTTTCTAGTTCTCACTTAAGATTGATGTAGCTAAACATACACAATGTGAAATAATAAATTTTTTTTTAAGGGTGAAGTTGAACAAATTGCTATGATGAAACCAAAAGGCCAGACTGAACACGACGAGGGTATGCTTGAATATCTAGAAGATATAATTGGTTGTGGACGACTAAATGAGCCTATTAAAGTCTTGTGTCGGAGAGTTGAAATATTAAATGAACACAGAGGCGAGAAGGTGACTTTTCTATAGACTTGTTACAAATCAGAATGTTCCTTATGAGTTAAATTATACTGACTTATTCACATGATTATAGATCATAATTATTGAGTAAATGGAATATTAGGTTGAATTTTATGTTTTTCTTACTGACATTTAAGGTGGATGTTTTTATCTAATGTTGGCATATTTTAAGTTCAGTTGTACATATAAGTGGATTATTTGAACATTATATATGTTTGATTTTTGTAGCTAAACAGAGTTAAGATGGTGGAAAAGGAAAAGGATGCCTTAGAGGGAGAGAAAAACATTGCCATTGAATTTCTCACCTTGGAAAATGAAATATTTAGCAAAAAGAATCATGTTTGTCAGTATTACATGTAAGTACTTTGTCAGTTATTTCTGAAATTTAAGAAAAGCCCTTCTCTTTCTCATAGTCAAGGAATATAATGAGGTGGGGGGGAGTTTTGTGTTCAAGTCATGAAGTAGGGCTGTTTATCATAGATAACATTGAAGGTTGTTGACTTAAGAAGCAGAATTATAAGTATTTACTATATTTAATAGTTTCACACATATTTTTTAAAATTTGTGTACTGGCAAATCTAATTTATTTTAAACAATAACTTATTTTACTAATTCTAGCCTTGACACCTAAGTTGTCTTTTTCCTTCAATAGCAGGTGTAATTGTAAATTGACTATAATTAAGAATACTTAAGGAACAGCAGATTTTATTCAAGTTTCTAAATAGTTTTAGAAATGGCACTTTAGGACTTCTGATTCCTTTTTTCTCCCTTCTAGTTATGATCTTCAGAAACGAATTGCTGAAATGGAATCTCAAAAGAAAAAAATTCATGAAGATACCAAAGAAATTAATGAGAAGAGCAGTATACTGTCAAATGAAATGAAAGCTAAGAATAAAGCTGTAAAAGATGTAGAAAAGTAATAATCTTTTGAAAAACATTGAAAACAATTTAGTTAATTTTTATTACATGTATTTGTATTGTCAGTATATAAATTTACAGGAGTATAATACATATAAAATAATCTCAGCATATAAAATGGTTTCCTTTTGGAAGCAAAAATCTTAATTGCCCTGCATCCAGTTTATAATCACAGATTGCCCAACATGTCATCTTAAAATAATAGAGGATGCTACCCCCTTGTGGCAGAACACAGTAACAAAACATCACAGCAAAAAAATAAATGAACAAGCATTTAATTTAACCACTACAGAGTTGTCTTAAACAGTCCAGGGCCTCCCTGGTGGCACAGGGGTTAAAGTCTCAGCACTGCGGCATGAGTTCAATCCCCAGCCAGGGAGCTAACCCACATGGCACAGCAGACCTCTCCTGTCTCATCCACTGCTCCCCTCAGCAGAGTATTTCAGTAGATCCGCCTGTTCTGCTCCCCACTCTGTCTCTGGTGAATCCTCTCATCTCTGGCCTATACCCCAGTTCCTGTATGCATAAATAAATTTAAAAAAAAAAAAACAGTCCACAAATCTAGTTAATTGGGATTGTTCTGGATAAATTTTTTAATGAATTTTTTCTGTGCCAATATTCAGTGATACCAGTATCTTAATCTGTGCAATTTTTGTTTTTTAAATGAATTTATTTTCATGTTAAAATTTTCCACACGAAGACATGGTTGCTAAAAAATGTGTTTCCTATCCAGCTTAGATGGCAAGGTAACTTATAATCACATTTTAACAGGTTCTTCAAATAGAGTTAAGAGAGAATTAGCTTGATAACTGGTAGAGTTTTATCATCCTATCTTTAAAAACTTTGTTGACATTTTACAAAAGAAGAGGAAAGGAAGTTTGTATAACATAACTTTAAGATGTTAATCTAACTACCCCAAATAGTGAGTAGTAATTTTTTTTTTTTTTTTTTTTTGCTTGACTAGGAAACTGAATAAAATTACAAAGTTTATTGAGGAGAACAAAGAAAAATTTACACAGCTAGATTTGGAAGATGTTCAAGTTAGAGAAAAATTGAAGCATACTACAAGTAAAGCAAAAAAACTGGAGAAACAACTTCAAAAAGATAAAGAAAAGGTTGGTTTTGGAGGGGAGGAAGCCCTTATATGAAAATGAGGTGTGAACTTGTATACTTTTGTAAACCAGTGTTACGCAATTTAAAAACAAAAAAATCTATGGAGAGTACACCTGAGAGGAGAATGAATAATGATGGGGAAAGTATGTAAATTTAAAAAAAGAAAGGAAGAAAGGATCCTTACATTTTCTTGTCTGAAAAGCCTATCCAGGGCTTCCCCTGGTGGCGCAGCGGTTGAGCCCTGGGCTGCGAAGCTGCACGCAGCCTCTGCAGCACCAGTTTGATACCCGGCCGCTGGGCTAGGGTCCCACATGGCGCGCAGACCTCTCCTGCCGCCCGCTGCTCCCCTCAGCAGTGTACTTCGTCAGTCTGCCTGTTCTGTTCCCCGCTTTGGCTCTGGTAAATTCTGTCACCCTCCTGCGCTTCTGACTGTACCCAGTGCTTGTATAAATAAATAAATAAATCTTTAAAAAATTGTTATATTTAAAAAAAAAAAAGCCTATCCAATCTTCATTATTTTTCATGGATGTGTTTGTTCCTGTTACCTAAGAGAATGAGTTGTATATACTCACAATATTTTTTGACCAGGTACCAGATCTTAATGGGAATCCATGTTTGAGGAATGCCGTTTTGGAAAATGTCCAACTTTTCTGGTATTAGATAAATAGAATAAATAAAATAAAGATTTGAGAGCAATTCCAAAATTGAACAGACTAAATGTAACTGCTACAGAGCCATTAGTGTTTAGATATCAAATGAAGATACTAGATTATTACCAGAAGGTATTAATGCAATAAAATAATAGTCCTACAGGAGTGACTCTGAAAGAGTAAAGTTGTAATATACCATCAAGGATAGCTTAGGTAATTCCATATAGTCGTGTAGGTGAAGAAAGATAATTACAGCCTGAAATTGGTACAGAAGCAGACCTAATTGCCCAACTAGGGAGAATTTCATTTGTAAGGAACCAAGAATTTATAGAATTAACTTTACCATTAGACTGAACAATATAGAAATTGTTGTGAATGAGTCAAAGAATATTTGCTAAAGCCAGCTACATCAAATCTAATTATAAGGAAAATCTCAAAGACCTAGAAATGTATTTAAATAAGTTAGATATTGATGACATTGGATAGTATAAAGGTTCCTGTTCTTATAACTTCAACTTGTTTTATAACTTTAGGTTGAAGAATTCAAAAGTATACCTGCCAAAAGTGAAACTACAATAACTGAGACAACAACTAGAAGAAATGCCCTTGAGAAGGAAAAAGAGAAAGAAGAAGAAAAATTAAAGGAAGTTATGGATAGCCTTAAACAGGAAACCCAAGGGCTTCAGAAAGAAAAAGAAGTAAGATTATTTATTTGGTGTTTATTTTGGTGACTTTTAAACTAGAGAATTTTTTTTGCGGTAATAGTGAAACCTGAACTATTTGGAGAAAACGTTTGGGACCTTTTAATGTTCAGCATTCCCCATGATAGCCTAGACCTTTTTCATGATTTTTTGTTTTCTATTTTTCCATTCAAAAGAAAATAAGTGAGACTTTATAGTGATAGCAGAAAGTGTGACATGTCAAATACTTGAAGTGTCTTGATTTCATCATCAAATTTTCTTTGTTATCTTAAATTTTTTTTCTTGATTGTTAATGAGCTGCCAACTATAAAAACATGGGGCACACTTAGCGCAGATTGATGTCTCACTTTGCTTCTGTAGCTCTTGTGTAATGAGAACCATTGTTCTTGTGTCGCTTCTTTTTTTTTTTAAAGATATATTTATGCATATAAGAGCTGGGGTATAGGCCAGAGATGCAGGTGGTGAAAGGATTCACCAAAGACAGAGTGGGGAGCAGAACAGGCAGGCTGACTGAAATACACTACTAAGGGGAGCAGCAGGCGAGACAGAAGAGGTCTGCTGCGCCATGTGGGTTGCTCCCTGGCTGGCAGGGGATTGAACTCGTGCTGCAGGGGCTGCGGATTGCTTCACAGTACGGTGCTTAACCCCTTGCGCCACCAGGGAGACCCCTCTTGTGTCAATTCTTGATTCAAATCCTAGGTCTCTAATCTTGTGATGCTTATGAGTGAGTAAGTGACTTGGAGTTAAACCCTGACTCATTTCTTCATAGCAATCATAATGATGGTATTTGCCTAGTGGGATTGTTAAAGGTTAATACCTATAAGATGTTCAGAATAATGCCTAGAACCTAGTGTGTGTTCATGTTTCATGTCATCAAGCATTTAACCATGGACACAATCTCATGTTCCTGTACCTTTGTGTTTAAAATGAAAGGGTTAGACTTTCCTAAAGGCCTTTTTTATGCCATTATTCTAAATATTAAGTCTTTTAGACCCAACCAAAGACAATAGCCCAAAATTTCTCATTCATCAAATAATGATTAGTGGTGGGGATTACCTGGTCTTACCTCTAAAACAAAGATTTTAAAGATAAATATACTTGATGAAACTTGATACTGAATAATATTTATAACCTACACCCTTTTTCAGTTAAGGTAATGTGGAACAATTACTAAGTTTAGTTCTCTTTCGGAAGTTTCTTTTGTGTTGTTTTAATCTCTAAAATGAGCTTATTGAGATCCACCTCAGTAAATGATTGTGAAATCAGCTAGGAAAAGACTTGTACCCTGAATCTTGAAACTAGGCAAGAACTATTTATTCCACTTGTAAGAATTACTTCTATATATTATCCTTGCAGAATCTCTAAAGTTAAATTCAAAATGTATAGTTCTTGTTTCATTTTAGGCTTGAAAACATTTCAGATTTAATGGAGTCTCATTTTTACAGAGTCGAGAAAAAGAACTTATGGGTTTCAGCAAATCAGTAAATGAAGCACGTTCAAAGATGGATGTAGCCCAGTCAGAACTTGATATCTATCTCAGTCGTCATAATACTGCAGTGTCTCAATTCAATAAGGCCAAGGAAGCTCTAATTGCAGCCTCTGAGACTCTCAAAGAAAGGAAAACTGCAATCAGAGATATAGAGGCAAAACTTCCTCAAACTGAACTAGAATTAAAGGAGGTAAACCTTTGTTTCTGTGTTTCATTGTAACTTTGCAAATCAACCCTAGTTTTATTTATGTACATATATTTTAATTTCAACATTGAAATAACTGGTAGATGGATCTTCTTTCATTTAGTGTAATCTTTTCCAAAAGAATAGGGTGTTTTGGTATTCCATGTGATAGGAACTGAAACTGTGGAGAAACTATATTCCCTTAGGAAGCATCAAACGGCAAGTAATGCTGTCACTACCAGCATCCTATGGAAATAATTTAAGCAGAAGTTTATTTCCCTAAATGTATATATAGACAACTTGTACAAGGGTAAATGAATTAATAGATGTATGTACATGTACATATGGGTAAATGACTATGCAAGGCAAATCAGTGTATTTTTTGTTTTTTATTTTATAGTTGTAGTTTCTGTGTTGGGATTGCATACTATTTAGTCAGGACATCTAACATTTAGCTCATGGGTGTCCCTCTATCCTTCAGGTGAATTGCATATCTAAGGAATTTGGTAGATTTAATCTCTAAAGCCTCATTAGGCAAAATGGCAAGAAAAAATGCTGTTTGAAGAGAAATTATACTGAACGTCATTGTAGGAAGTACACCCTGTTGTGTTTGAAGGAACTGTATAACCACATAGAATTTCATGTAAGCTTAAGTTACATCCAGTTTCTTCCCCTTTTTTGTGGTGATTTGGTTTAATTTTAGAGAAATTATAATGAGCTTTTGCTTTATACTGATATAAATGATATAATTTAAAACCAGGAGATGAGGGAGAACATAAAAAACGATGATAGAACACAGTGATTGAAAAACCAGGAGTTTGGATTTGTTTATGTATGCGTATGGTTCCTCTGCTAGCTATACTTTTTTTTTTTTTTTTTAAGATTTATTTATTTATTTATACACGCACTGGGTACAGTCAGAAGTGCAGGAGGATGAGAGAATTCACCAGAGCCAGAGCAGGGAGCAGAACAGGCAGACAGAAATACACTGCTGAGGGGAGCAGCGGGCGGCAGGAGAGTCTGCACGCCATGTGGGACCCTCACCCGGCAGCTGGGGATCGAACTGGCGCTGCAGAGGCTGCGGGCAGCTTTGCAGCCCAGTGCGCAACTGCTGCGCCACCAGGGAGGCCCTAGCTATACATTTTTGTATAGCAGTGGAACTGTTCACACTCATGTTTCCCTTCATTTCAGAGCTGAGACCTCCACCCCGTTCATTTAATTAGATGTACAACAAATAAAATCATTTAGAAACCCTAGTCACCCATATCTAGCTTCCTGTACCACAGTCTGTTTATGACTAGTGCAGAACTATTTTAGGACACTTATGAATTATGTGGTACCTAAATGGGATATCTGCAGCCCAGCTCTGCTTGTTCTAATAATGTACTACTCCTGGAGCTGTATTGCACTTCGACTCCTTATTTATTGACTCATAATTCCTACCCATCCATATTTTTCACTTAACCTTAGCCAAAAGGCCAAGAAGTGCTATCATCCATATTTTTCAAAGCCAACCCAGCAGTTACAAAATGGCAACTTAGTTCATGTTCACTTGTTTATTGCTGGTTCTTGCCTTTTTTGAATATTACAGCTAATTCTGTTCTGTGATTGGGCAGATGCTTCTAGGATTCATTTTCTTTTCACTTTCAGAAAGAAACGGAACTTCAAAAACTTACACAAGAAGAAATAAATTGTAAAAGTTTGGTTCGTGATCTTTTCCAAAAAGTTGAAGAAGCAAAGAGTTCCTTAGCAATGAATCGAAGTAGAGGGAAAGTCCTTGATGCAATAATTCAGGAAAAAAAATCTGGCAGGATTCCAGGAATATATGGAAGATTGGTAAGGTAGATTTATTTAGAAATGACTATTTTTTTTCCTCAAGATAATTTTGTAAAAATGATTTTCTTACCTTGACTTACTTTGTATTTATATATTATCACTGTACATACAATAACATTCATTTTTAAACATTTTGCTCTTAGTTCTGACAGAATTCTTTGTGGCAAGGAGTCTCATTAAAAGCAGTTTCCAGGTTATTTGTGTAATTAATCATCTCAATACCAAGGAGTGGGGGGAAACTCACTCTAGTAGTGATAAACTTAATAAAAATGATCCTTAATAAAAAGGAAAGGGGGAACATGATAGTTCTGTTTAGGGTTTTACACCACTATACTAAAAGTTATGGCTGTAGAGAAATCAAAAAGGAATCACATTGGGAAGGCTAGCAATTGCAGAGCCCAGTCCTGCTCCAGGGCCTAATGAAGGGAAGGAGTTGTGGCCACAGTTAAAGGTGATCTAGGGGTGAAAGGGTATATATATTTCAAAATCATTCATCTCCTACCTTGCCATCTCTGGGTGGTACCTCTCATTGGCTAAAGCTAGAGAGCCAAAGAAGCCCATTGGTAAATTCCCTGAGTCAGCTTTTTAGGGAGTGAGTCAGAAGGCCAGTTGAAAATGATCTAATATAGTCACATCTGTGTCAAGCAACTCTACCTTACTTGAAGATACACAATTGGATCCTGTTGATTTGCTCTGAGGAAAAAATAAAGCTAGTCAGTGAATGTGCCATTAATTTATTCATAGATGAATATTTTCATCAGAATTTGCATAATGTTTAGATGACTCAATAATTCAAAATTTCTTTTTTATAAATTATTTTGTTTGTAGTACTTGTAGGTTTCAAGTCTTCACATTTCATTTTCATACAATGAAAACAGTTCTTTCACTTTGTGCTTTCATTAAAAAGTTCAAACTCGCATACATACAAAATTTTTTTAAAGATAGATTTGAAACTCTAGTGCTGACTGCCTCTGCAGAAATGGAAGTTGAGGACACGTAGTATTTTGTTGTTGTTGTGTACCCTTCTTGTACTTTTACACACCAAGGTATAAATGTAGTTTCATTCAAAATGACAAATGCCATGTGAGTCATAATGAAATGATCTTGTGTCTAATTTCTTTTTTATTTATTTATGTGTTGATTTTTTTCCTTAATTATTAGGGGGACTTAGGAGCGATTGATGAAAAATATGATGTTGCTATTTCATCCTGTTGTCATGCATTAGACTACATTGTTGTTGATTCTATTGATACAGCCCAAGAATGTGTGAACTTCCTTAAAAGACAAAATATTGGAGTTGCAACCTTCATTGGTTTGGATAAGGTGGGTATTTCATAGTAAGCTACCTGTAATTAAAATTTTAATCACCACTGTTTTTCATTTTGAATTCTAACCTTTTCAGTATTTACATCACCCCAAAAAGAAGCTTCATACACTATAGCAGTCAATCCCATACTAACTCTCCACAGAAACCTGTAACCTACTTTTTTTTGTTCCTCTAAATATACCTGTTTTGGGCATTGCATATAAATAGAACCAAATACTGTGTAGCCTTTTGTGTGTGACTTTAACAGCTTTTCACTGTCCATGTTGTAACATATAACAGTACTGGAATCCTTTTTGTGGCAGGATAATAATCCATTAAATGTATATGCTACATTTTGTTTATCCATTACCAGTTGAAGGACAACTGTGTTGTTTGCATGTTTTGGCCATTATGGTTAACGCTACTGTGGACATTCATGCACAGGCTTTTGTTCAGACACTTGTTTTCAGTTCTCTGAAAAGGAGTGTAATTGCTAGATTATGTGCTGTTTAAAATTTTGAGTAACTGCTAGACTTTACACAGTGGCTGCATCATTGCCCACTAGGAGTGTATGAGGCTTCCAATTTCTTGCATCCTCACCACCCTTGTTATATAATCTTTTTGATTATAGCCATCATTGTGAGTATAAAGTGGGTATTTCGTTGGGATTGTGATTGTTACTGTTATTTCCTGATGACTGTGTTGCACATTTTTTGTGTGCTTATTGGCCATTTGTTTATCTTTGGACAGGTATCTTCAAATCCTTTACCCATTTGTTCATTGGCATATTTATGTTTATTGTTGAGTTGTAACAATTTATATATTCAGACAAGTCTCTTGAGAAGATATGCAAATATTTTTATAGATTACCCATTTTGTGGATTATTTTGCTCTCTAATGTACTATAAATGTTTTAAATATTGAAGAAATCAATTTAATTTTTTAAGATATATTTATGATACAAGAACTTGGGTACAGGCCAGAGGTGTGTGGGGGTGAGAGGATTCACCAGAGACAGAGTGGGGAACAGAACGGGTAGACTGACTGAAATACACTGCTGAGGGGAGCAGCGGTAGAGATAGAGGAAGTCAGCCACCACATGTGTAGCTCCCTGGCCTAATGGGAATTGGTCATGCTGCAGAGGCTGAGAATAGCTTTACAGTGCTGTGCTTAACCCCTTGCACCACCATGGAGCACCCTACAATTAGTTTTTAATCCATGTTGATTTAGCTTTTTATGTGGTGTAGAGGTCCAACATCACTCTTGCGTATGTGGATATCAGGTTGTTCAGTACTATTTGTTGAAAAGACTGTTCTTTTCCCGTTGAATTTTCTTACCACCCTTGTCAAAAATCAGCTGACCAATAATGTAAGGTTTTATTTTGAACTCTCCATTTATCTCTGTCTATCCTTCTGCTATTACAATAGTGTCTTGATTACTGCTGAAATCAGGATTTTTTTTTTTTTTTTTTTTAATGTCAAGATGGTTTTAAGATCAGTGGGTCAATTTCTGGGGGAATAAAAGCAAATGGAGGTGTGACACAGGTTGCATTGAATCTGTAGGTCAATTTGGGTAGTGTTAGCATCTTAATATTAAATCTATGAACAAGGCATGTATTTATTTGCATCTGATTTTATGCAGTGATGTTTTACAGTCTTCAGTGTATAGGTCTTTATAATTTTTTAAATTTATGCCTTGGGTTTTTTAATATTGAAAGTATACTCTTTCGGGCCTCCCCAGTGGCGCAGCGGTTGAGCGCTGGGTTGCGAAGCTGCCTGAAGCTTCTGTGGCGCCGGTTCGATCCCCGGCTGCTCCCCGGCCACCGAAGGAGGGTCCCACATGGCGCGCAGACCTCTCCTGCCGCCCGCTGCTCCCCCGTGCAGTGTGCTTGGGTCCTTCTGCCTGCTCTGCTCTCTGCTCTGGCTCTGGTGAATTCTCTCACCCTCCCGTGCTTCTGACTGTACCCAGTGCTTGTATAAATAAATAAATAAATCTTAAAAATATTTATATAAAAATATCACTTTAAAAAAAAAGAAAGTATACTCTTTCATTATGTAGTGCTTGATGTAGAAATACAATTTTGTCTGTCTTGTATTCTGCAGCTTAAACTAAATTCATATTCACTCTAATGGATGGATGTGTGTGAGGGTGTGTGTTTGTTCATACCTTGGGATTTTTATGTGTATAAGATCATGACATCTGGAATGGTTTTACAATAATGATTTTTTAAAAATAAAGTAATGATAATTATTTAGGTACTCAAGATCTTTTTGCCCATCTTATGTTTATTTTTATGTTTACATATGTGTGTGTGTGTGTATAACTTGTGTAGATGATACCAAAAATTATAAGTTCTTTATTACATGTTTTGGGATTTTTTTTATTTCTCCATCTACCCGACCCCTCCTACCCCCCACTTTTAGATGGCAGTATGGGCAAAGAAAATGAACAAAATTCAGACTCCTGAAAATACTCCTCGGTTATTTGATTTGGTAAAAGTAAAAGATGAGAAAATTCAGCAAGCATTTTACTTTGCTTTACGGGACACCTTAGTAGCTGACAACTTAGATCAAGCCACAAGAGTAGCATATCAGAAGGATAAAAGATGGAGAGTCGTGACTTTACAAGGGCAAATAATAGAACAGTCAGGTAAAAGTGGTTCATTTCCTGCCATTCAATTTGTTAATCTCATTGGAAAATGTATCTAAGGCTGACTTCTCTCCTCTGTTCTCCAGGTACAATGACTGGTGGAGGAAGCAGAGTAATGAAGGGAAGGATGGGTTCATCAGTTGTTGTTGAAATCTCTGAAGAGCAGGTTAGCATTATGTCCTATAGTGATGAGTAATATACATGCTATATAAAGTTTAGCCATTTTAAGTGTCGTAAACTCAAATTTTAAAAGTAAATTTTTTATAAATACTAATATATAAGCTGGTATTTTGTGGGGGTTTTTCACATAATTATTGCTTTATTACATACTTGTTTTTATTTCAAAATAATTTAAATTGTAAGTAAAGACGTATGATATGTGTCCAAATTTTATTTCAAAGTACTTTAGGTGCCTACAAGTATATGAGGATGTTAAAAAGTACAGGAAAAACTGTCATGTTCCATTATCACCCTCAGAACATTACATAAACTTTTCTTTATCCTTAATAAGACATACTTGGATGTTTTAGATCCCTAACATTTTCCAAGCCTGTTGTGCCTTGATTTTTTCCCCCCATATTTGAAACAATTTATATTTCTCCACTTAAATACTTGGATATTGTAACTTCATTGAAATAATAGGTGATTATACAACTACAAAATTGTCCTTTCTTCTGATTTCTTGATACAGAAATTAAATTAGTTACCTGCTTCTAAGCTTAGGCTTGGTATTAGGAACTGGTTGTTTGACTTTAGTCTCTTTATCAGTCTTTTTACATAACTATATGATTTTGATACGACAGCTACATACTTCCATAGTGTGTATGCTTTGCTCACCCTCCACCAAAACTCCATTGCTGATATGTTCTAGTCTTTAAAATCAAAAGTTTGAGTTTTCTTAATGCATAAGTTGACTTGCTTATTTCACTGGTTCTCTCTGTAGGTAAATAAAATGGAATTACAGTTGCAGAAAGACTCTGAAAAGGCAGTACGAATCCAGGAAAAGAAAGTACAACTGGAAGAAGCTGCAATTAAGTTACGACATAGTGTGCGAGAAATGAGGAATACACTAGAAAAGTTTACTGCGAGCATCCAGGTACTCTTAACAAGTGTAGTTGAAACTTTGGGAATTCAGCAGTGTTTAAGCAGAAATATTTTCTTGTTTGCTAACAATTTTTATATTATAAGGAAAGGCGTAAAAAGAAATAAGGTATATCTCTGGATAGAGGGCCTGCTTCTTGATACTATGTTTCCCTGGGTATTCATGGAAAATGTTCTGTCACGGTCTTCCTCTGGCCACAGCTAGTACTATTTACTGTTTCCCACTTGTGCTACATAGAAATACTTCTTTCTTAAACAACTATGTGAGCCTTTATTTTCATTGTCTATTCAAAGTGGAATGTTTTCTTCATTATGAAAAAGTTACACATTTTCTTCATTATGAAAAAGTTACAAGCACTCCTACTGTCTTCTTTTCAAAAAATTTTTCAGGACTTACTCAAAAGATCACCTTCATTTTTAGGTACATTCTTCAACTCTTTAATATAAATGCCTAATTTGCATGTTTGTACTTGTATATGGTAGATGTGGATATACAAATATATGTAATTTTAATGAGTCGTACTAACTTATTACAGTTTTATTTCCAAGCCAATGTAAATTTACTTTGCTTGAAATTGCATTAGAGCATTCTGCTTATATTTTGATAAATGTTTTCTTTAATAATTTGATAAATGCTTATCTGTGCTATATATATGACTATATTTAAAATACCTTTGTTAGGTATATTTTTTACACTTCAATTATTTTCTTAGTTTATATTCCTAAAATTACAATTGTTTCCCAGTACATACAGTGCATAAGACATGTGTTGTATAGTGCAAAATTGTCCTCAAAAAGGTTTATACACTGCTAACAGTATATGTAAGTAGTTATTTTCCAAGTCTTTGAACACTAGGTAGTCTTCAGTGTGTTATAAGTTTGTTACACTGATGTACTAAAAAGTGGCATTTCTATCTAATGAGCTCATATTTCATATATTTGCCATTTTCATTTTTTAGGTTAATTGTTCATGTTTTCTGCCCCTTTCCTGTATTTGTCTTTTTCTTAAAGACTTAAATGGTGTGTTTTAAATTCAAAATGTTTAAATTTATTGTCTTAAAATGCTGACCTTGAAATTTAAAACATTTCTTTAGCGTTTATCGGAACAAGAAGAATATTTGAATGTCCAAGTGAAAGAACTTGAAGCTAATGTACTTGCTACAGCCCCCGACAAAACAAAGCAGAAACTGCTAGAAGAAAATGTTCGTGCTTTCAAAACAGGTATATTTAGTATATAGACTTTTCTTAATTGTCAAAATTAGGTTTTTAAAGTTTGAAATTTCAAGGGTAGCAGTTTATAGAATAAAAATATCAGATGACATGTATGTATTATGTGCAAGTAACAACAGTTTTTATGGTTTCTGTTACATCACTCTCAAGAGGTTGTGAAAGTAAGTACTATTAAGGTTAACATAAGTACTACAAAATTGAGTACTTCATTTGGCAAATAAGAAAACAGAAACAAAAGTTTCTGTAATTTGCCCAAGTAGTGGTACAGGAACTCAGGACCAAGGCAGTCTGATTCCAGAACTATGACCTTAATTTCATATTTTGTATATTTTGGTCCAGTCTTCACAAGGACTCTTCAAGATTGTATTTATTGTGTATATTAAGAAAACTGAGAGGATTCAGAGAAATAAATCACTTCAACATGAGCACACAAGAAATAACTAGTATAAATATTGAAGAAAAGCAGTATTTGATAACTTAGTACATTTTCTTCCAAATCTTTTCTTCTTGTGTATATACAAACATGTGAGCTATAGACTCATCAGTGAGAATTAACTTTGAAATTTAAAATCCCCAATAATGCAGTTGAGCTAGCCCTGCTTCTCTTTCATATTGGCTTGCATCTCAAACATAGGTGAATGTGCATCTTGTTGCAGAAAGGAAAAAGTGGACTGTGATGACAGATACCATCTTGGCTGACAGTATCTTAGTAACCCCCTATAAACAGTGATCTTCATCACAAACTCAAGAAAGACTCCTATTACAGTTTAGTTCATGAGCCAACAAAGGCAAATAATGTTCCATCACAGAGACTTAGTCAAAGATGGAATAATATGCCAAATGCACCCAAAAAAAAACAACAACAAAAAAAAAAAAACCGGAATTCTCCAAAAGAAGATTGGAGGTAGACAGATGTCTGCTATACACATTAACTGTTCATCTATACCCAGGGTGTTGTGCATGTGTGTGTGGTTATCTGCCTTTTAATATTAGCTCATATAACATCTGCTCTCGTCCAGCCTTTGTTCATATGCCTAGAACATTATATGATCCGAGCATTGAACAAAATAAAAATAGTCCCTTGTTTAAAGAGGCTCACACTTAGCATGGGGAAGCTAAGCAAATGTGTTACATACTATATTAGGGGGGCAGTAAAACTAGGATAAAATATAAAGTAATGGACCGTGTTTAGACAGATATCTGATAGATTTGAGCAGAGATCCAGAGGAAGTATATGAATGTTAACCATGTGGGTATTTGGGAGAAGAGCACTCCAGAAGTATAGAGTGTAAGCACAAGGCTCTGAGGCAGAAGTATGCTGGCATTCCACTAGAGTAAAGGAATTAAGAATCAAGTACTGTGGGGCCTTACAGGCCATATCTCCAAGTGAAATAGAAACCCATTGGAGAGTGTTAGTAGCTAGGCACACAGTCAAATGATAAAATCATTTGGAAAGCAATAGTCAAGGATATATCCTAAGAAAAAGTTGAAATATCTTTAAGAACTATGAAGCCATTTTGAAATAAATGGATTGTGTTCATGTTTGAGCAAGGGAGTTTAACCATGTGTTGTTATAACACTGTTTCTTTTGATACAGTGTGTTTAGCTTTGTTGGTGGGTTTTTTTTTCCCCCCTGGTTTTTGAGGACATAGCAAACATCAAGTTAAGTCTTATTGACTGAAGAAATTTACACCTGTTTACTTATTAGCCTTAGAAATTTGAATTAAGTTTTTTTTGTTGTTTTGCTTTCAGAATATGACAGTGTGGCAGAGAAAGCTGGTAAGGTGGAAGCTGAGGTTAAAAGGTTACACAATATCATCGTAGAAATCAATAACCATAAACTCAAGGCCCAGCAAGACAAACTTGATAAAATAAACAAACAATTGGATGAATGTGCTTCTGCTATTACGAAAGCCCAGGTAGCAATCAAGACTGCAGAGAGGTAAAGTACACATATTATTTAGCCTCTTTACTCTTTGCGCTCTCCACATTGGAAAGGGGGTTTATATTTGAATGTAATGGCTATTAAATATTTGTTACACGTATTAAATTTACCTATTTAAAGGGCAAAATGATAATATATCACCAGTTTTTTTTTTTTTTTTTTTAAGATTTATTTATTTATTTATTCATTCATTTATTCATTTATTTAATTGTACAAACACTGGGTACAGTCAGAAGCGCGGGAGGGCGAGAGAATTCACCAGAGCCAGAGCGGGGAGCAGAGCAGGCAGAGTGACGAAGTACACTGCTGAGGGGAGCAGCGGGCGGCAGGAGAGGTCTGCGCGCCATGTGGGACCCTCCTCCGGTGGCCGGGGAGCAGGCGGGGATCGAACCGGCGCTGCAGAGGCTGCGGGCAGCTTCGCAACCCAGCGCTCAACCGCTGCGCCACCGGGGAGGCCCACACCAGTTATTTTTAATGGGCAAACAGGTGTGCCTTGGCAAAGTGTAGTTATAACTTTCTAGTTGCTGTAAAGACTGGAAATCAAGGTTTTTTTGATTTTCTGGCTCAGATGTAGATGATGGTTAATATAAATAGATCTTGGTCTTGGGAGAATAAGAGGTAAGAATGAGATCTCTTAACAAAAACATTTTTGATTATTTCATTTCTCTAATTTACACAAAATTTATCCACTCAGATCTTGAAGTTTATAATGTATTGAAGTTTTTTTTTTTAAATAAATCACATATGCATGTAAAATGTTCAATTATAAACACCTTTATCTCAAAATTGTAAAATACTGACTATCTGGTGGTTATTAAGTTATTCCATTTCCTTTTGTCAAAGACTAATCCATTTATGTCAAATGAGATATTTTGGGCGTTTTTCTGTTTCATTGATTTGTATTGAAAGTTAAAATATGTTAACATCCCACAGGTATATGTATGTATAAGTATAAAAACTAGCTCAAGGATGTTTTTTTTTTTTTTTTTATGGACATGTACCTATTTTTTTTTTATTGATTGATTGATTGATTGATTTATGCAAGCACTGGGTACAGTCAGAAGCGTGGGAGGGTGAGAGAATTCACCAGAGTGGGGAGCAGAACAGGCAGATGGACGAAATACACTGCTGAGGGGAGCAGCGGGCGGCAGGAGAGGTCTGCGCGTCGTGTGGGACCCTCCCCCCGTGGCCAGGGAGCAGCCGAGAATCGAACCAGCGCTGCAGAGGCTGTGAGCAACTTTGCAACCCAGCGCTCAACTGCTGCGCCACCAGGGAGGCCCAGCTCAAAGATGGTTTTAAATATAAATTTTCAGATGTTAGAAAGAGGTCATGGGAAGTTGATAGGTTTCAGAAGCAGAATAACAAATCATGTTAAAACACATTTTTAATGGATCATTTTGCTTGTTGTAGAAATCTTAAAAAAGCGCAAGACTCTGTCTTTTGCACAGAGAAAGAAATAAAAGATACTAAGAAAGAAGTAGATGACTTAACAGCAGAACTAAAAAGTCTTGAGGACAAAGCAACGGAGGTCATAAAGAACACAAATGATGCAGAGGTGAGACTTGAAGGGGAAGCAATGGTATTTGAAGAGTAGGAAATAGGACATCTGTGCCTTACATATATATAAGCAGCACTCAGTGCATTAAAATTTATAACTTAATTTTATTTGTACTGTATTGTAAATAAATTTTAATTTAAAATGCAAGGGATATAGGGGAGATTATTTATATATATACCTGTTCTTTCCAACTGGGAAGGTCATATCTGAAGCATTTCCTCTTGATTTTTAGGAATCTTTACCAGAGATCCAGAAAGAACATCGTAATCTACTACAAGAACTAAAAGTAATCCAAGAAAATGAACATGCTCTTCAAAAAGATGCACTTAGTATTAAGTTGAAACTTGAGCAAATAGATGGTCACATTGCTGAACATAATTCTAAAATAAAATATTGGCAAAAAGAGGTGAGGATACTACCATTTAGTTAAGTGTAACTTTAAAATAGCCTTTATGAAATATACCTGGGGTTTTTGTTTCTGTGTGTGTTTTGAGGTATGTTATGAATCTTAGTTCCATTTAACAAAAGTCTGCATGGACACTTTGCAAGCAATATCAGTGTTTTTCTTGAAGGACTCTGAGGAATAATTGATATACAAATTAGTCACAACTCTTTAGTATATGTTCTTTTAGTAGATAGGTAATTTGCCTTTTCATTTTTTTAATCAATGAATTTTAGTACTGTGCCTTCCCTAATTGTCATCTTAATTGAACATTTAGATTTCAAAAATATCATTGCATCCCATAGAAGATAATCCTGTCAAAGAGATTTTAGTTCTAAGCTCAGAGGATCTTGAAGCAATTAAGAATCCAGATTCTATAACAAATCAAATTGCACTTTTGGAAGCCCAGTGTCATGAAATGAAACCAAACCTTGGTGCCATTGCAGAGTATAAAAAGAAGGTATGAATTAACTTATTTTTTTTAAACAAATTTTTTTTAATTTTTTTTTTTTTAAGATTTATTTATTTTTATACAAGCACTAGGTATAGTCAGAAGCGCGGGAGGGTGAGAGAATTCACCAGAGCCAGAGCTGGGAGCAGAACAGGCAGAAGGACCGAAGTACACTGCTGAGGGGGGAGCAGTAGGCGGCAGGAGAGGGCTGCACGCCATGTGGGACCCTCCTCCGGTGGCTGGGGAGCAGCTGGGGATCGAACCAGCGCTGCAGAGGCTGACTGGCAGCTTCGCAACTCAGGGCTTAACCGCTGCGCCACCGGGGAGGCCCTGAATTAACTTATTTTTTGCTTCTTAAATTGACCTTTAACTGAATGTTTTTCTCATGGTATGCCTTTTTTTTTAATAGGAAGAATTATATTTACAACGGGTAGCAGAATTGGACAAAATTACTTGCGAAAGAGATAGTTTTAGACAGGCATATGAAGACCTTCGGAAACAAAGGCTTAATGAATTCATGGCAGGTTTTTATATAATAACAAATAAACTAAAGGAAAATTACCAAATGCTTACTTTGGGAGGTGATGCAGAACTGGAGCTTGTAGACAGCTTGGATCCATTCTCTGAAGGAATCATGTTCAGGTTTGTAATTATATGAAGTTTTAGTTTTTCCTTTTAATACTTAAAATCTTAATTCTTAAATGAGAACTTACTTTCTAAATAAGTTGTAGTTCTAGCTTTATTTTGACAAATATGAATTTGTTTATGTATTGGCAGTTAGTAGTAGTTGTCTAGTTTTCGTCTAATTTTTGAGCCACTTCAATGTAACAGGATTTTGAAGTCAGAAAGCAAAAATTCCATTGAAAATAGGAATAATGGCAAAAAGTAGCTGCTACCTAAATTAAATATTCCCATTCTGGCAGGTGTTCTATATGTCCATCCTTCACCATTTTTATCAGATTAGAGATTACTGAAGAAAGCAGTAGAAATCAATTCTGAAAAACAAATCACTCTATCTTAAATTTAGTTTCACAAGTAATTTAATGTGTACATTTTCTTAAGATTTGAATAATTATTTCAGTGTTCGACCACCCAAGAAAAGTTGGAAGAAGATCTTTAACCTTTCAGGAGGAGAGAAAACACTTAGTTCATTGGCTTTAGTGTTCGCTCTTCACCACTACAAACCAACACCCCTGTACTTCATGGACGAGATTGATGCAGCCCTTGATTTTAAAAATGTGTCGATTGTTGCATTTTATATTTATGTAAGTAGTCATTCAGAGGTTTTTTTTTTGTTTTTTTTTTTTTTTTTTTTAATTTTATTGGTCCCTAAACATTACACATGAAATGCTTTGACTTATTTCTTATTAAGCATTTTCCTACCCTCTAATTCCACATCCTATATCAAGGTGACCAAGGCCTTTATCTGAGGAAAATTTGGGGGAAATTAAAAGTACAAATTGATAATGTATATTAGTAGCAGAAACACAGCTAGAAGCTGAAGTTTCCTACCTGAATCATTTTTCCACTAGAAGACTTCCAGGCAAAATGCTACCAGAAATACCCAAATTCCTCTCAAATCCAAATCCTATTTCATGGATTGTCCATGCCATCATTCCTGTTTATGTTCATTATCAGTGTAAGGTTTAATTTTCTGCTCCCAAATGAGGAAAATAGTAAAGCTTAGGTGTTTATTATATGACTTACTTGTAATATTTAATGTTTCTAACTTTTTCTCCTTAGGAACAAACAAAAAATGCCCAGTTCATCATCATTTCTCTTCGAAATAATATGTTTGAGATTTCAGATAGACTTATTGGAATTTACAAGACATATAATATAACAAAAAGTGTTGCAGTAAACCCAAAAGAAATTGCATCTAAAGGACTTTGTTGAACTTGTTTATACTGAAGATTCTTTGTATTGAATCAACATAAATTGAGAGTATTATATTGCTGGTTTTCCTTTTTGTAAGGGATTTTAAATTATGTAAAATATATATTCCTAGACTGGATCTTATAACTGGTTTCTATTTTATGTAATTGACATGGTATAATTCTAATAAAATATTCTCTATACTTGCCTCTAGATTTTAACAATCTAACAGTTTTGTAGTGATAGTGAAGCTCTAAACTAGATCATGTTATCAAGACTCAGCCTACTCTCATGGATCTTCAGCCCACTTAGAAAATCCTGCCAGCTATTCTGATACACATTCTTAAGACACTCCACTTAATTTACTAATTGAGACAATCATTGTATTTATTACACAAATATTGGGGACTTTTTCAAACCAGTCATTCTGAACTATAAAGATGAAAACAAATATTCTATGATTTTCTAAAACTTAATGTATTTGTTTGAAAAACACTTTCAGGAGGGTTAGCAAACAGTATTATGAACGTGACTCAGGTAAATTAGAAGTTGAAAATGAAACTCATATGCCACTACACTTGCTTCATAAAAAGAATAAGGGTGGTAACTTAGTACAAATGGAAATTAAGATGGAGTGCTATTTCCCTAATAGTGCCACGGTTTGGGGGTTTTTAAACACTTAGCTCAGGAATGCTTCATATTGCTACTGGAAATAGGTTGTCAACCTTTTAATTTTCTGAAGGAATTTTTGGTATTGAATCAGGTCTTTTCCTTAACTGTTCAATTTCTAGATAACTAATCCTGTGAAATAACAGTGAGCTAAGAGTTGTATCATAACAAAGCCTTTGAAAACTGTAAATACATTAGCATGGACAAATAAAGCAAGATCTGAAACTCAAGTATGGTCATGTGTTTTAAATCAAGGTTACATGAGGGGAAAATACCTGGTAAAAGCTATAATATAATCGAATGCTTTTTCACTGGTGAAAGTACAAGTGAGTAGAATTTAGTATTTTTAATAGATTTTAATGACTTTAGTGGAGTAATAGAAATTAACACTTATTTTTAGAGTAGATATTACACCCCATATAAAAATTCTAAAGCTACCACTCCTTAGTTTGGATACCTGATAAAGTCACAATGCAAATAAAATGTCAAAATGATTTTATTAAAATATATATTTTGTTATGCATAAAACTTAGAAATATTATATACTTTAAATTTTAACAATCTGGTAAAAATGCAAAATAGCATGTGTAAGAATTACTTGACCATGCATACTACATAAGTCATCAAAAGATTCTACAGAAAGTATGGGGGGGGGACGAAAATCAATTTCAGAAACGTGGATTATGTGCTTGACACAGCGTTTTGTCAGGGCTTACTAATATTTACAAGTATTTAGAAATGGAATTTTTGAGATGTGACTAAAATTTTTAAATGCCACTTGGTCTAAAATTAAAAATTTGTATTTCTCATTAGCTGAATACATCGTCCCTACCTCTTATACCCTTCAAATGTTGTTTGCCTATGCATTACTTAAAAGGGCTAAATCTAGTGATAACTGGTCATAATTTGACCTTAAATATTGTCAGCTTAGTGTTAAGACTTGTTCTCAGCAGATGAGTATTTTAAAACTAATGCCCCAACAATTACAAACTATGGCCATGAACAGCCCTATTAATTATAATTTACCAAGAGCATTCTCTAATGTCACCTGAAAAGTATGAATTAAGAAAGCCTCCTGCAATGTGCTCCAACAGCTCATCTGGGATTTCTGGAAAGGGAAATGAGTATATATTTAGGATTGCATGCACACAGCCAAAAGTCCTACCACAAACCGCAATTCCAGTCTCTGGAATGTCAAGCAGGTATATTTGATCAAAAACATCTTTAGCATGAACAACCCCTTACCACATTCAGATTTTGCTACTTAATTTTAAAACCTCACTATCCTTATTTGCCCATTCAAAAAGTTCAACCCACATCAAAATAAAGGCATGTACAACTTTAGGATTTTGCTATGTTTTAATGTATAAGCTAAAGTATACATAAAGAACCACAAAGCTGACCAACTACAGTATATAATGAAAGACTACATTGGTATTAAGATTGTTTAAATGTCATAGTAGTATTAAATCAACCTCAAGCCAATAAAAATGGTATATATTCAAGTAATTAAATTTTATTCTAATTTTCAGACTGAAAACTAAAGACTGTTGTTTTTAATTTGACACATTTCTACCCAACAGAAGCATGAAAGGCTTAACATATTTGTTGCAACTCTAATAAACACTAGTTCATTACTTATCTACGCTACCCGTTTCCCCACTTAGCAATGGCTAGTCTGCTGTACAGAATAAGCCTATACAAAAAATTCAGATTTGAATTTTCAGTAAGAGACTACTTTCCAAGTAAATTCCTTCAGTAGATACAAAGTGTGGCATAGTATATTCTTTAAGTCATGCATATTGTTAGATAAACTTTGGTAAACAGATAGAGAAACTTCAGAAAAACAAACTGAAGTGATTTCATTTACAAAGGTTATTATGTGTTGGTTGAAAAAGAGGATCAACATCAGTATCACTGAAATTAGTGTGACTATAACAATGTTCAGAATCTTAAAAAATTCAACGTCTTTTTCATCTTTATCAGGCCAGGAACATGCCATCCTTTTTGAAGAAACTCTCATTTCAGGAATGAACAGTTTCTTAATTTGTCCAATTTCTGTTTTGCTCCAATCTTCTTTCAAAACCTGGCTTACACGAGGATAAATTTCAACAGGTCGGATCTCAGGAAGTGGTCTTTGTTTCAAGACCTGCACACGCTGGCGGACGTCATCAACTTTTTCAAGAAATTTGAGAGGAGACTCTTCTTGTAAAGATGATGTCAGTGTCATTAATTCAAGCTGCTGCTCTCTCATTTCCTTCATTCTTTCAATTTGTGGAGTATATTCTTGACTGATCAAATTGCCAACATCACAGAGAGCAGTGAGGAAAAATTTTTTTTTCTGTTCTAATATATCATTAAGCTCCTTAAAATACCGGAGAACAACTTCTTTATCACCTTGGACCATTTTCTCTGCATGAGATTTTTGTTCTTCTAACTTTTCAATAAGATGAGTAAGATCCATCCAATGCTTGTCAGTTAACTGTTCAAGCAGTTTTTGAGGTGTGTCCTTTTCTTTCAAATAGGCACTTTGAAGATCATCTATAGGATGACCATGATGTTGACCTATGGTAAGGCAATGACCACAAACTAATTTTTTATCTAGCAGACAATAAACGTTTAATGGTTGCCTATAATGTTCAGGGCAGGTAACAATATCTGGATGCTCTTCTTGCTGGTACTTTTCAATAATCGCCCTTAATGCAAAATTAACAGGTAAAGATTCAATACCAGTTGGAGCAATTTCAATAATACTTCTGCAATTAGGGCACTTGAGTGGTATTCGTAAAGGTCTCCATATATAAAAGTTACCAGATGCCTGAAGAACGTTTTCCAAGCAATTTCTACAGAATGTATGAGAGCATGGTAATACACGAGGATCTTCAAAAATACTGTAACAAATGGGACACGTTAACTCATCCTCAAAATTGTGCATTTCCTGTCAAAAGAAAAAAGTATTTTAAATATGAAAGAGATAAGCATACATTATGTAAAGTTTTAAAGTTTTAGCTGTTAACCTCTAAATGATATACTGCACTTGTCATTTAAAAGATACTGTTTTTACTAAGATTTTTTAAAATATAGTTTTCCTAGTAATGCAATTCCTAATATATAATATTCAGTAGTTGATAATCTTTAAAATTGTATTATTTGGAGACAAAAGAGCTGAACAAATCAATTCTAGTTAATTTGTAATAAAATACTTCAAATTAAAGTTTGTTTCTATGTGAAGAAGACTAAAAAATTCAGTGTGGGTTTTTTAATAAGGTTTATTTATTTATGCATACAAGAGCTGGGGTGTAGGACAGAGGTGCAGGGGAGGAGAGGATTCCCTAGAGACAATGTGGAACAAAACAGGCGGATCCACTGAAATACACTGCTGAGGGGAGCAGGAGGTGACACAGGAGAGGCCTGCTGTGGCATGTGGGTCAGCTCCCTGGGGATGGAACTGGTGCTGCAGTGGCTATGGATAGGTGCTGAGACTTAACCCCTTGTGCCACCAGGGAGGCCCCTCAGTGTTCTACTGAAGTCTATTTAATGATTATAACTATTCTGAGCAAGTTTGCATTCTAAGATGCTAGAAAACTAACCTGCTAGAAAATTAAATGTAATGAATAAGTAAGACCAAACAAGTCTATTAGTAACAAGTTAGACTTAGCAAAATTATATTCTTTAATTCAAAAGAAGAATTAATGCTCCAAGTTGGCTCAACCATTGTTTCCTAAGGAAGTTATTAAATTTCTCTAGTAACAATTACTGTAATTCTTAGATTTTTGAATTGGAATTGTGCCTAAAACCAGGATCAGCATAGTGTAATATCTTAAAGTAATAATTTTAAGATTTGGAAAAAAAAATTTGAATTAGTCCTAATAAAAAACAGTTGAGGGCCTTCTTGGTGGCACAAGGGGTTAAGACACAGCCTATGAAGCCATCCACAGCCTCTGCAGCACGAGTTCAATCCCTGGCCGCCAGGATTGACATGACACAGCAGACCTCTCCTGACTTGCCCACTGCTCCCCTCAGCAGTACATTTCAGTCCATCTGCCTGATCTGTTCCCCACTCTATCTTTGGGGAATCCTCTCATCCCCCAAACCTCTGTCCTGTACCCCAGCTCTTGTATGCATAAATAAAAATATAAAAAAAAAAATCCGTTGAAAAATAAAATGTTCACTACGGTAACTGAATTACTGACTACTAAAGCATTAGTGGTAAAGAAAGCCGTTAGTCATCTTTTCTTCATGGAAGAAACCCAGCAATAGTTCAGAGACACTCTGACTAGCTATTATTGACATTTCAAACAACAGGAAACAGTTTTGCATCCTATCACTTCTTAGTCTTCCTTGCAACTATCCTCAGCACAAGCCACAATTCTCAGGAAGACTTGCTCAGCCCTAATAGAAAAATCAAGTTATACCATTGTTTAAAGAACCTTAAAATACAAGAACCAGTCATGTAAAAAGTATAAAAGTTACCAAATCCTCAATAAAAATTAAGATTTTAAGATTAAAAGTTTGAGAAATCAACATTTACAAATAACTTTTGATACTTAAATGAACATAACCTATTTAGACTTTTTAGCTCTATGCTCTTTATCTTTACCATTTGTTAAATAAACCAAAAAAATGACTCGAATCTCAGTTTGAGCCTTACCTCTTCCCCAGATTAGGTCCCCTGATAATTTCACTTAACTGGGTAATACTTAAAAGAATCTTTTAACATTTTTCCATACAACAGAATGTAAACCTTCAATAAGGGCAGGAACTTTACACATAGTAAGCATTTACTCAAAATTGGTTGAATATACACTATCTTAAAAGACCAAGTTAATAAAGTGTCAGATAATAGTTTTTGGGATATTTAAGACAGGAAAAGCTATATTATAAGCTATATTAACAGCTATATTATATAGCTATTCAGGAAAAGCTATAAGAAAGTAGAGACCAGAAAATATTCCACTCAGGGCACTCTCCCCGGTGGCGCAGAGGTTGAGCGCTGGGTTGCGAAGCTGCCCTCAGCTTCTGCAGCGCCGGTTCAATCCCCGGCTGCTCCCCGGCCACCAGAGGCGGGTCCCACATGGCGCGCAGACCTCTTCTGCCGCCCGCTGCTCCCTTCAGCAGTGTACTTCAGTCTGCCTGCTCTGCTCCCCGCTCTGGCTCTGGTGAATTCTCTCACTCTCCCACGCTTCTGACTGTACCCAGTGCATGTATAAATAAATAAAAATAAATCTTAAAAAAAAAAAAAAAAGAAAATATTCCACTCAGACTGACAATATTCAAAACCCTAATGAGCCAAAACATGTCACATAGAGACTGAGTTTGTAAGCATTCCAGGAAACTAAAGTAACTGGGCAACAATGCAGAAGATGACACTTGTTTTAGGTAAATGCAAGTGAATGCATGTTGAGAAGACTTCCTGACTACGCCTACAGAGAGCTCTGAAATACAAAAACGCCCACGAAGAACAAGCATGTTTCTCAGAGTATTCCAGTGATGTAGGAATTCATAATGAAGGAATAAACAATAGCACTTTGCAAGGAATAAAATGAGCAGTGGACATATATTCAATTTAGATTTGTTGTTAGAGCTATTTAATATTTTAAAGTAGTAAAATCAGCCATAAAGCAGAATCTAACCTTTCCCTCCGAAATTCTATTATTTGACAAACAACATTTGTCCTGAGAACCCATTTAGGAAACAAGTAATTTCCACTTCTTTAGAATTGAGGATAGGATAGTCACAGTAAGACTGTAAAAATCTCCTGAGTTTATACAAAATTGAAACAAAAATCATTGTCTCAAAAGTTACTTCCATAACTTACAATTTGATTAATTGTTGGTAACTTGAAAAATCAAATCCTACTCTTGGACTACCTTTTGCTGATTTATTAAAAGTGTATCTTAGATAACAAATTCATGAGAAGTCGGAATTGATTTATTAGAAGCAATCCTTGACTGAAAATGATTTTCTAAGGCCAGGAACTTTTCCTGTGGTTGATACCTGACATATAATAGATACATTATGCTTAGGGGTAGTTCTTCCAGAAATTTTACACACCAGAAATTTTCTGTAACTAGGCTAAGAGAAAAGAAGCAAAAAAATTTACCTATGTATATTTTCTAGGAAGAATATTTTAGATTTAGCTATGCTGTATGTATTAAACAACAGTGGAAACAATGAAGCAAAGCTTTCAATATTCTCAGGGAAAAGTGGCTTCAATCTAAAATTTTACACCCAAGAAAGATAAGTTTTGAGGATAAACTAAAGATAGTTTAACATGCAAAGTCACAAAAATGAACAACTCCTCATACACTTACTAAAGCAGCTACTGCAGGGACAGAAAAAAAAAAAAGACACGAATTCTCACCAAGATATAACTGGGCAGCAAGCCTAGATTACAAGTAGTCTGAAGGAGGAAGACGGATCCATAAGAAATGTCTTTAAGCAAATAAATGGGACGGACAGAATATTTCATGTGTCTGAACATCTTGAGAGTACTGAAAAAGTAAAACTTAAGGGAAAGCGATAAGAATTCTAAAAAGAGAAAACATTACAGTACATTATATGGCTCAGTTGCTGTATTAATCATATTATAAAAATATGATTTTTTTTTTCCAAAAAAGCATTACTGTTATGGAATGAACATTTGTGTCGTCCCCCCAAATTCATGTGCAAATCTTTTTTTTTTAAAGATTTATTTATTGGGCCTCCCCTGGTGGCGCAGCGGTTGAGCGCTGGGCTGTGAAGTTGCCCGCACCCTCTGCAGCGCTGGTTCGATCCCCGGGCACTGGCGAGGGTCCCATATGGCGCACAGACCTCTCCTGCCGCCCGCTGCTCCCCTCAGCAGTGTACTTCGGTCCTTCTGCCTGCTCTGCTCCCAGCTCTGGTGAATTCTCTCACCCTCCCGCGCTTCTGACTGTACCCAGTGCTTGTATGAATAGATAAATCTTTAAAAAAAAAAAAAAAAGATTTATTTATTTATTTATTTATTTATACACACACTGGGTACAGTCAGAAGCGCAGGAGGGTGAGAGAATTCACCAGAGCCAGAGCGGGAAGCAGAGCAGGCAGAAGGACTGAAGTACACTGCTGAGGGGAGTAGCGGGCGGCAGGAGAGGTCTGCGCACCATGTGGGACCCTCCTCAGGTGGCCGGGAGCGGCCGGGGATGGAACTGACACTGCAGAGGTTGCGGGCAGCTTCGCAACCCAGCGCTCAACCGCTGCGCCACCGGGGAGGCCCCTCATGTGGAAATCTTAACCCATAATGTGATAGTATTCAGAAGGTGGTGCCTTGGAAGGTAATTAGATCATGAGTGTTGAGGCCTCAGAAGTGGAATTAGCATCCTTATAGGGACTTGCTCCCCCTTGCTCACTACTTCCTGTGAGGACACGCGAAGAAGACATCCACCTGCAAAGCAGAAGAGCACTCTCACCAGAACCAAGTTATTCCAGCAACTTGAATGTGGAATTCCCAGTGTCCAGAACCATAAGAATGTTGTTTAAGTTACATAGATTATGATATTTTTGCTTATAACAGCCCAAACTAAGAAAATGACAAAATTATATTGCAAGAGAGAAATAAGGAAGTCATGTTCAAGAACTAAATTTTAACCTTCCTTTATAAGAAGTCAATACACACCTGAAAGTGAATATGAAATCGCATTTAAAGTGTATTATTTAGAAACATAGAAACAATTCCAAAGAAACGATTTAAAAGGATATGAACGTGATTACTTCTGGAAACCAGGAATCAGGACTGGAGAGAGTAAGGGCAAGGGGCTGGTGTTTTTCATTATATATCTAAATAGTGCTGCTTTACTTTCAACTATTAACATATAATTATAATGATAATAAAAAAAATTTTTTAATCTATGCATACAAGAGCTGGGGTGTAGGCCAGAGGTGGGGGGAGGGGCAGTGAGAGAATTCAACAGAGACAGAGTGGGGATCAGCACAGGCAGACTGACTGAAATACACTGCTGAGGGGAGCAGCGGGCGAGATGGGAGAGGTCTTCTGCACCATGTGGGGTAGCTCCCTGGCCAGGGATCAAACTCGTGCTGCAGTGGCTGTGGACAGCTTCATAGTGCCGAGACTTGTGCCATCACGGAAGCCCCAATCATAATAAAATTTTAATGACAATCCTACAAGCATCCAAGTAGAAAAGCAAGGCAAGGTAGGAAAGGAAAACAAAAACATACTGGTCTCAAAATTCTCTTCTAAGAGATTATAATTTCCAAAAAGGGCCACCACACTCATCTCCCACACATGCTCTGTGGGTTCATCTCACCAATAGGAAATGGTAGAAGTGATACTGTGGCAGTTCTACAGCTAGCCCTTAATGTGCCTGGCAGGTCACTACTTCTTAGAATCACAAACTGCTATGTAAAAAGACCATGCTGATGAGAAAGGCCAAGTTGGGAAGTAGTGAGATGCCAGACCTATGAGAGAAAATGCCATTTTGGATGTGCAGCCAGCCATGTCTTCAAATATTTGTTACATAATCACATCACCAAAGAAAGAAGGCATGCTAAAGACAATGTAGCAACATCCACAGGGTCTGGAAGGAAAAGGATAAGACCTAAGAATTCTGTACCCAGAATAAATTTATTCATCTGAAAATTCTTGGCAAAATCTATAGAGTTGAAAAAAATTCTGTAAAGCAGAACCGAAGCCTTATGCTTTTATTATGAAATAAAAAACGGAATTTTTAAAAGTTAGAGAAAAAAACAAAAGAAGGAAAAGCTCTAGAATAGAGATAAATGAAGAAACAAGGAATTACAGACAGAAAATTGTTAGAATTGATAAACCCAAGAGATGACTTTAAATAAACAATTAGCTATCTGTGATAGGTAGCTTCCAAGATGGCTCCCAATGACCTCCACCTCCTAGTAATCATGTCCTCTTATAATCTTCTTTCCTCATTGTGGACTGAACCTATCGACTCCCTTTCAAATAAATAGAATACAGAAATGACAGGATATCACTTCTGAAATTTTCTAATAGAAGGCCCTGGCTTCTGTCTGGAATACTCTTGCTCTCTCATAGATCACTCTGAGGGACACAGGATGTTATGTTGTGAGGAGACCTAGGTCTACTTGGTGCAGCAAAGGCATTTAGTCTAAGGGCTCCCAAGAAACTGAAGCCTGCAAACAACTACATAAGTTAACTTTGAAGCAGATACTTTAGGTCCAGTGAAATCCTTCAATGACTGCAAACTAGCCAACAGTTTAACTGCAACTCTATAAGAAAGCTTGGGCCACAGGCATTCAGCTAAGATACTCCTGAATTCCTGACCCACACAATGTGTTTTCATATTTGTTGTTTTAAGCTGCTAAATTTGGGGGTAATTCGTTAGGCAGCAATATATTAATATATTATCCTAACCCAAAGAGAAAAAGGCGGGAAAAAAAAGTTAGCTTTAAAAAAAGGAAATAAACCAAATACAGAAAAAGCCAAAATTACAGACTATCCCACACAACTCTCTGCTACTATATTTGAAAACCTGTAAGAAATGAATTAATCCCTATATCAGCTTTATTTTTTTTAAAGATTTATTTATTTATTTATACAAGCACTGGGTACAGTCAGAAGTGCGGGAGAGTGAGAGAATTCACCAGAGCTAGAGCAGGGAACCGAACAGGCAGACGGAGGAAATACACTGCTGAGGGGAGCAGCGGGCGGCAGGAGAGGTCTGCACGCCATGTGGGACCCTCGCCCAGCAGCCGGGGATCGAACCAGTGCTATAGAGGCTGCGGCCAGCTTGGCAACCCAGTGCTCAACCAGTGAGCCACCAGGAAGGCCCATCCCTATATCAGCTTTAATATCAAAACTGAACCAAGAAGATAAAGCAAACAATGAGAGAAATTTATAAATTGAGAAGTGCTACTCTAAAACACTGGAAGGGGAAAAACTTCTCTGGTGAGTTCTTTGCAATGGTCGTGAATCTATTTCAACTGTTCTAGGATACAAAGATGGAAAGTTTGCAAATTGTTTTGAAGATAGTATAACATGATTCTGAAACCTAACAAAGATAATACAAACCTAAAAAACAAACTAACATGAAAAAATGGACACTGATATAAAATCCTAAACACAATATTAGCAAAAACAAATCTAGAATTACAGTGAATGATTAAATAAGGTTCCTTCCAGAAATATGAAGTTAATTCAGTTACAGAAAACTATTCAATTAGGCCAATGCAGAAAACCTGTGTAATCACATTATATATGAGAAATGTACATAATATAAAAACCAATAAGCAGTCTACAAAGATAGAAAGTAAAATGATGGTTGCCAAGGTGCTAAAGAGGGGATAGTAATTATAGTTGCTGTTTAGAATGTACATAGTATCAGCTTGGGAAAATGAAAAAATTCTGGAGATGAATGGATGCACAACATATGAATATACTAATGCCACTAAGTATATCCACTCTTCAATGCACACTTAAATATGTACACTTAAAAGTGGTTAAGATGGTAAATTTTATGTTATACTTTTACAAAATTTAAAAAAACCTTACAATTTTTAATTCTCGCCCTTTTTCCACTGCTAAATTAAGTGTAAAATCAAACAGTATTACTTTATATTTTTAAAAATGTAAAAATCAAAATCCACAAGTAACTATAAACTGGAGACACATGGGGGAGGAGGACAGGGAAGGAGAGGAAGGATTAGGGCCAAAATAAGGGGAGTGGGAATTGTGTGGGGAATATAACCAAAATGAAAATGCATACATACATTGTGCAAAAATGAAGTAAGAATTATATAAAATAAAATATTTTTTAAAAAATAAATATATTTTTAAAAAGTAAAATAAAAGTAACTGTAAATATTGTTTTCCTCCAGTGAGCACTAATTCCAAGTAAAAATTAGTAAATGAGTTCAAAGATTTCCTACTTCCCTTTTAAAAGTCACCAAGAAATGTGAATAGAAAACATTAATCTTTTCAGAAAGAAACAAAGCTAAATCACCTATTTATGAATTATTGCACAAGTTGCTTGTGTCAAAAACAAACACACTTCTAAATTTCTGAACATTTTAGGCAGTCAGGTAGTCTTTCTCCTTCAAACTCACTTCCTCCTATGGAGCCTCCACAATGTCTAACCAGCACGTTACAGAATGATGACCAGGAATAAGCAGTAACAAAAATATTACCCATTTTCCATAAACTATTTTTTGAATTTTAATTCACTAGTGCATTATTTCCTTTCATCTCTAAACATGAATGGTTATAAAACATCCATTACTTTTTACAACCTGTAAAGAAAAGTTATATTTATCACATTATAGAGTTAGATGACTTACTCTAAGACTTACTGTGTGAGTCAGCTGAAAGTCTGGGAAAATTCAAGAGATGCCACCACCCGATTGGGCTCACATTTTTGTGGCCCAAGCTGATAAAACACACATTTTATGCAATTCAAGACTTACTTTAGAAATATCACAATTTTGCCATCTGTATACATATATAAAGCAAGATTTTAAAAAAAAAATGCTTTTGTACTTACACAAAAGGAAGGAAGAACCACTCTAATTTTCAAATTAAAAAAAAAAAATCTTATGGTCAGATCTGATTTTCACTGTCTGTTTTCCTGCACTTTGACATCTGTTAACCCAAACTAAGAAAGAACCTTTTAAAGCAATTTAACCAGTAACTAAAAAGAGAGGTTACAGTTTTCAAAGTGAAAACATATTTGGTAAAAAACATTCAGTAATATGCTTGTGGAAAGGCAATGTTGAAACTGTCCTAAAATTAAAACTCCACCTTTCCAGACTAAATGATGGCACCTTATTTCAAAAGGTAATAATCACTTAGTTATTAAAAAATGCAGATCACTGCTAAACACACAGTAAAAAGGTAACAGGTTATAAATGTAACGTGCAGAACTGAACGTATAAAGTGACACCACTGTGCGCAGGTCTCTACAAACTTCTGAAAGGGTATACAAAAAGAGTTAACTAAGTTTAAAGTATAGGTCAGAGGAGGGATTATTTACTTTTCAATTTATGCTCCTCCTACACGACTTGAAATTTACACATCACCAACATATCTTTACAGAAGATTCAAAATCTTCACCTTGCAGTTTAAATCACACACTCTGAAACCTTTTCTTCGTCCTTAATTTTCCAGAACTTACCTACTTCGTGGTGACCTTCGGATGTGGGGAATGAATACAATCCTTTATCTTCTCCAACTTTTTCGGATTCTTTTATTCTTCTTCTACAATGAAAATAGTTTTCTAAATATTTTAGATTTTCATCTCAAAACTACATCAGGAATGGTTATCTCACTGTCTTTTATGTTTATCTTACCTGTGCCTCCTTTTTCCTAAGAAAAGTAGTAACAAACATCAAGAGTTACTGGAGCTGCAGGGCAGGCATCTCTCCTACCTCGAAAATCCTAACAATTCTCTAGCAAACAAATCGTCACAAAGGACCTCTGTTTTGTTGTTTTTTTTTTTTAGCATCAAGAATCTTACAAGCTCTCGAAAACATCAACCAAGCAGTATTAACCAAACACTCCTGGTCATTTTGGGGTTGCCCAAGCTGTTTTACAGGAAGGCAAGAAACAGCCACGGGAACGAGAGGCTTTGCCAGCCCCAGCTGGACACCCTTCGGGTCCCCCCCGCGGGGCTGGCTCCGCTCGGCCCTGTAAACGCCGCGGGAGGCTAAAGCCTCTGAAAACCGAGGCTGCGCGTCCGTAAAATGGGCCCATAACCGCCCCTGAGACAGCCCCACAGAGCAGCTCAGGCGCCTTCTCCCTCCTTCGCCCTCCCGCTTCCGCAGGGTCCGCGGGCAAAGCCCCCCGCGCCTCGCGGGGCGCCGGCCCCTCGCTCACGCCCAGCCCGGGGGCCCCGCCCGGCAGCCCCGCTCGCCCCCCGCGCCCCGCACCCCGCAGAAGGGCGGCTCCATCCCGGGCCGGAGGGAAGACACGCAGGACCCACGCCCGCGCGCTCCCTCGAGCCCCAGGCACCCCACGAGGCCGCGGGGGCGCCGGGGGAGAGGCCGCAGCGCCCCCGAGGGCAGGAGGGCGGCTCAGACTCACCGCGCGCAGCGCCGGCCACCGGCTCCGCGGCCCCCGACGCAGGCTGAGGTACTGGGCGCCGCCCCCGCCGCCCGAGGCACCGCGGGCGCCCAGACGGGGCGGGGCCTCGCGGGCTTCCCCACGCAGGCGCGGTCCCCGGCGACTTTCAACTGCGCAGCGTCCTCCAATGGGCGAGAGTGCGCGGCTCCGTTCGAAAGTCAACCGCCCACAACGGCGGCGGGGGCGGGGCGTGATCACAGGGGCGGGGCCAGGGCGGGGCGGGGCGGGGGCGGGGCCAGGGGCGTGTGGGGCGGGGCGGGGCGGGAGGCCCCCTTTGCTCTAGGCGCCGGAGCGCTAGGTGAACCTGGAGGTGGCCGGAGATTCCCAAAAGGAGCATATTGTTATACCGACCGGCCGGCCGGGCCATCGAAATTTGGTTTCCAGGGCCTCCCTGGTGGCGCAAGGGGTTGAGATGCAACCTTTGAAGCAATCCGCAGCCCCTGCAGCTGGAGTTCAATCCCTGGCCAGCCAGGGAGCCACCCACATGGCGCGGCAGACCGCTCCTGTCTCACCCGCTGCTCCCCTCCGCAGTGTATTTCAGTCAGTCTGCCTGTTCTGCTCCCCACTCTGTCTCTGGTGGATCCTCCCACCCCACCCTACCTACCCACTGTGCCACTGGCCTGTACCCAGTTCTTGTATGCATAAATAAATAAATCTTTTTTAAAAAATTGGTTTCCAGAGTTTGAGGAACAGCGAGTCGTTACCTCAGCCTTTGCCGGAGGGTACCCTGGCGCTCTCCACCCTCAGAGCCCTGGCTCCTGACAGCTCCGCCTTACCAAGCCCTGGACTGAGTTCCTGGAGCAACCTCCAGTTGTCTTACTGAGACTCAGCTCTGAGAGCCGGGAGGGCTCTGGGAACTACACCGCCTCCCGCCTCCTTCCTGCTCCCACTGCTGTAGCACATTACTGCCAGGATGATGCCAGTTAGGGCACCCAATTTAGTCAAAGGAGCCTACCCTGTGATAGAACAATTCTGTTTCACCAGTTCCCGTTAATTAAATCATCAGGGGCAACCTGAAGGATACTTATGGAGGATAAAAATAGAAAAACTGGAAAGGAGATACAAGGTCAAGAACCTAACTCATATAAGGAGGTAGGGGTAGAGGGGATTAGAGTAAGCCATTAACCTAATTATAGAACCCAAGACCCTTAGGCATCAACGCCCAGATCAGGAGGCACAACACCCAGAAAGTATCCGACTGCTGTGGGGAGTGTCATGAGCACAAAACCATCCACCCACAAAGACGAGCCCCTCCCTGAAGATGATAAAACCTAACTAAAACCTAAAGCTGCCCCCACAACCGGGCAGCAGTCTTTCTACCCACCTGTGACTATGCAGGTGCTTCCTTTCACCAAAATCTCTCCCAACGCAAAGCAGCCTCCTGCCTGCCCGTCACCTGTACCATGCCGGAACTTCTCTTCACTGAGCTCCCTCAGCGGCGGCAGCTCTCCTCAAGGCTGCCCTCCTGCAACCATACAGGCCTCTCTCAGCAAACCTGTCCCTTTTGGGGCAGCTCTTCCTGCCTGCTTGCGTCTATGCAAGTGTCTTTTACTCTTCTGTCCCTTTCCCTAATAAACCTGCTCTTTAAATATAACTAATGTCTCTGCCTCAAGGAGAAACTCACCTGGGAAATGCGCCATGTGCTACTACAAGGGGAGCTCTGGTGACACCTTTCCTAGAGTGAACCCAAGGACCCCACACTCCAAAAGCTACATCAGATACTATTGGTCTTTAACCTGTTTTCCCATGGGGAACCTTCTGAATTGGAAAAATTCTGTCCTTCCATATCAACAGGAGCCTCAAAGGGTGACTCATTTGCTTCCATTTTTTTCTCTGATTGGCCTGCCTAAATGGACATGTCACATAAGCATTAACATTGGTTGTGCAGAGAATGGTTTTGGGGATGGCTTGTGAAGAGATTTTCATCTCCACCAGAAGAATCCAGATACCCCAGAGCCAGAAGGAGCTGTCCTAATGGTAGATCCTAACTGGGACCCCAATTATGGGAGAATGGAAGGACTAGAACACTATAAGAGGTGCTGATTGGCAGAATTAAAGAAGGGAATGTCTAAGCAAAAAAATTTTGGTAAGATACTAGAGCTTCAACAGAAGGCCAGTAAGGGTCAGTCTGAGGCTCTCGAAAGGATTATTCAAACTTACTGTACTTACAGACATGAATTCAGATGCTCTAGAAAATACTCGTATGTTTAACACAATATTCACTGGTCAGTGTACACCTGATATAAAAAAGACACCAGGGTAGAAGTTGCCATAGATATCCTTTCCAATTGGTCAGTGTAGCCTTTATTTTTTTTTAATTTATTTATGCATACAAGAACTGGGGTACAGGCCAAAGGTGTGGGAGGTGAGAGGATTCATCAGAGACAGATTGGGGAACAGAACAGGCAGATCAACTGAAATGCACTGCTGAGGGAAGCAGCAGGCGAGACAGGAGAGGTCTGCTGTGCCATGTGGGTAGCTCCCTGGCAGGGAATCGAACTTGTGTTGCAGTGGCTGCAGATAGCTTCAAAGGCTGTGTTTTAACCCCTTGCGCCACTAGGGAGGTAGCCTTTAGAGTGTATGCTGCAAGAGAAGAAAGGAGGCCTAGACCTGCAACTGTTTTTGTAGAGAGACAAGACAGAATAGGGTTTTGGAGGACGAGAGAGGGGATATGGGGAGGAAGTAGAAGTGAAGTAGAAGAAAGAACAATGTGCTGACTGCAAGGAATAGGAGGAGCCTTGTGGAATCTGTCATGAAAATCTCTCTTCAGAAAACCGTCAGTTTTGCCTTTTGCTCATAAATTCCACTGTCAGTGCATTGAAACTTGATGGATGGAACAGGGGACATGCCCAAACTGCAATCTCCACATTTTGCTACCAGAAGAATTTTCTAGTCGCCCCAGGTGGTACTTGTCCAAGATCTGATGTTGACTATACAAAAGAAGTTCAAATTTCAGCTTCCAGTATTTACTTTTGCCTTTTACTATGAGCTGATAGATGACTGGTGTGAAGCTATGTGTTCTTCAGTACTGTACAAAAGAACTAATCTCATCCAAACTGCAGCCAAAGAGGACATGACAAATCTTCAGGATTTATGATTGAACTGAAAAGATTTAAAGAAGATGGAATTTTAAAAGTGACATTATATCTGTGGTTATCTTAGGAGGTATTTTCTTCCAACATAAACATGATAGTGGTTAGCATAGAGCTTAGGATGTCCCCTTATTATTGCACTCATCCTTTGCTTTCCCCCAAATATACTACATTTTGATTTCCTGAAATAAATTTAAGCAACAACAAAAGTGAAATAAATAGTAACCAAGGTTACTATTTTGACCACTGTACGAGACAGAAAACAAGACTGTAAGATCAATAAGAATGTATGATCAAACGGTACATAAAACATCCAGGAAATTTTAGTTGTAACTCAAAACGTTCCTTTCTCTGGGATTTGTATGCCTCCAGATGAACCATTACATCCTTTCAGACCTGGTGACTGGGACTTACTCAAGACCTAGCAGAGTGGAGACACCCAAGCCCAACTGTTGGAGATATGGCCTGGTTCTCATAATGCTTTGCTGACCACTCACTCGTCTTTGAAATTTGAAGACATCACTCCAAGTGAAGAAAGGCTTAGAAGATGATGACCCAGAGACCAGAGACCCAGAGGCCCACTGGTCTTGTGAAATATCTCAGGTCTTTGTAGAAGACCTGAGTTCTTTGTTTTTTAAAAAGACAGACACTTGAATATTTCTTTCTCTTTCAGTTTCTATTGTAAGATACCCCAGAATTGCTTCCTGGTGAACACTAGAGCCCCTGAGGAAATGCATAAGGCTATGGGTCTTCCTTGTCATTTGGTCTAGCTTAACTTTTTTTCTCCTCCCAAAGTCTAAGGTACGTAGGATCGTATCTGAAATCACATGACTTCTGCTGTCATCACTCCCCAGTTTTGGGAATTTGATTTTGACTCCATGAAAGAAAAATTGGTTTTGATTTTGGCTTTTAATTTTTGATATTTTAAAATTTTTCATGAAGACGTTTTTGTATGGGAGCCTATGTTTGATTTTTTCCCCTTTTGTCTCTTTGCAGGCTTTTTTTTACAGGCTCATGTGTGCCTCAGGTGAACAAATACTCTCATTGCTTCCATGTAAATAAAACTGCTTTTCCAGCAGTCAATGGTGAAAAGAATGTAGCTTCAGAGAACTAAGGTTTGTCCTTGTAATGAACCAGAGAGAAAGTTCTGTTTCCTTTCAAGTATGAATAAAACTGCAGTTACATAAGATATTCCACATGGATTAAATGGAAAAAACGAAGGGAGCTGTCTGTGTCCATATGTTGTTTGTCTTCCCCTTTTAGTCTAATTGTTCTGGCCTCCAAAGGATTAAAATAAAAACAGTATAGACAGCTTCTGGAGGAATTTTGAGCTCAGAAATATAATAGGAACTGGTTCTGGTGCTCCCAGGAAGCATGGCCTGGGATAATCTGTGGCTAAAAGAAACTAATATAGAATTTACTTTGGTTAATGAAAACTAATTTGGAATTTTTAAAAAAGATTTATGTTTATTTATGCATACAAGAACTGGGGTACAGGCCAGAGAGGTACGGGGGTGGTGAGAGGATTCATCAGAGAG